TAATAATCTATTCTATAGAGTTCACGACTCCCGCCCCCCCCTCCCTTATAACTATCGGGTTACGATAACCCGTATTTCTACTCCTAACGATAAGGAGTAAATAAGTATATAGGAAACGTTTCCGGGCTACTAGCTTTTTTTTATAGCTATATAATACTTATTTAGTATATAAGGAGTTTTTGTTTTTACCATAAAATAGCTTTTTAGTATTATTTTACTATATTAATAATAAAGTACGATTCTAATAACTAAAGTATTCCTTAATATCACTTACGCTACTTATTTCTACTAATCTAAATAATATAACCGCTTTCTCTCTAGCTTAATCCTGGCTATCTTTAGTTAGAAACGCTAATCGGCTTTTTCACTTTCCCTTATAATCCGCGCTTCCGATTCACGATCCTTTCGATCTATTTCGCGCCGATATTCCTTAAGAGTAAGCGTTTACTCTTTAATTAATAATAAGGTTTATAAAGCATAAACTTAACCTTAAGTAGCTTACTAATAGAGATTTAGTATATTTAGGCGCTAACTTCGAGAGCGTCTAGGAGGAATACCGCTTAATAATATACTCCTTATACTCCTTACTAAGGAATTTCGAGAATCCGAATCTCCGCTATTACTACTAAAGATCCTAAAGTCCTTAGGAGGATCTAGAGCTAATCTTAAAATAGATCGGCTTCCTATTATAGCACGGCTTTATAATTAACTACGATTAGTATCTTTACTTTCCCTATCTACCTAAGAACGTTTTCTCTCTAAAGCCGCGGAAGGTTAGTGTCTTTTCTTTTATTATTTATAAAGGAATAGAACTTACTTCTCCGACTAAGTATAGTATTAAACCGGCCGCTTATTCTAGTATCTCGCTATAAACTAAGCACTTAAAGGGAATAAGTATTATAATCTATTATAAGTAGTATCTAGTCGTACTTCTTATATATATAAAGGTTAGCGAATAGATTTATAATACTTACTAAAAAACTTACCCTTAGATAACCTTAAGGATATAAATATATCGTCTAGTCTATTTATATAAGGCTTAATATATAACCTCGACTATATTAGTGTTATTAGTAATTAATACCTAATCCTTTAGTAGAATATTCGAAGCTACTTAATAGAATCCTATAGTAATATATAGGAGACGCTTATATATCGCCTAATTATAGAACTAAGGTATTATCTTTAAAGGATAAATAAGTTTTTCGAATCGTTTCCGAATCGTTTCCGAAATATTTCTGGACTAAACTCACGGGTAATCTTATTATAAAGGTTATTATAGTCCTCTTAAGTCTAGTATTCTAAAAGAGTTATTAAGAAATAATAGGCTAAGCCTTTACCTCTTACTTAATCACTACCTAGAATACTCTTAATACCTCTCCGGAAATAGATTATATAGAGTCGTATATAGCGAGATACCTAGTCTTCCTAAGTTTCGGTTAGGCGGAACGTTTACTATAGGTATCTATTAAAGCCTTAAATCGCTAATAAGGCTTAGTCTAAGGTCACCCTAAGAAGACTAATACCGTGTAGATATTTCTGTTTAACTTATATATTATACTTATCTTTAAGGATCCGGAATACCTAATAAAATATATAGAGATACATATCTACTATCTCCGAGTTTATATAGCACCTTACTAAAAGGAGTACTAGATATTATTAGAAACGATTCGGAAACGATTCGGTGATAAACCTCTTTCCGAATTATAGCTATACTATACCTAAATAATTTCCTTCTACTCTATACTATTAATATACTTATAGTTAGTATCGACGAAAAAAGATTTTATATCCGGGAAAGTCTATATTTTCGCTTATTCCTTAAAGAAGCAGATTACTATATAGTTATATTAGGTCTTGAATAAGTGCTGGATATACTAAAGTATAATATTAGAAACTATATATAGATATAACTAGTTATTCACTTATATATTTATATTTATTTGCTTCTTTTATCTACTTAAGACCTAAAGTAAGACTTCGACTACCTTAAGGGAAAAGGATAATCTACTACTTTCGAAGAATATATCGAAGATAGTCGGAATTCGTAAGACTAGTATAAATATCTAAAATAGTTTTCCCTTTATATTCGGCGATAAACTCTTTTAGTTCGCTCGACTTTAAAAAGATATTTAATTTTAGGTTCGGGTTATTAATCTTCGCGAGCACTCTAAAAATATCTTTTACTATAAAGGGGGGGGCTTTTAAAGGTAGTGTTAAAGGGTAAGCGTATACTCTATACGATATTATAATAACCTATAGAGTTATCTTAAAATCGTAAAGAATAAAAAATCTAAGTTCTACATTATAGGTTTATCGTTAGATATCGCTAATGCCTAAGATATAAACTTTATTTATATAGAGATATTAGCAGATATTACGCGAATCGTTTCCTAATCGTTTCTAAATATTTCTGAATATTTCTGAATATTTCTGAATATTTCCGAATCGTTTCCTAATTATTTCCTAATCGTTTCCGAATCGACTTACTATATATTTTTCGTTTTCTACGATTCGACACGAAAAAGTAATAAGTCTTATCCGGATTAGCGAGAATTCCGTGTATAGTAGAATTAAAAGTATATCGGATAAGGTCTATATAAGAATAGAAACTTATTAGAATCACGGTATTAATATAGCGACGCGTTATATCGGCGATTATCTAAGACTAATATACTATAAAATATTATTTAAAGTTCGTAAGTTACTATAATTAATTAAGAACGCGTTTAGATAAAATAAGGTATCTAAAGATAATACTTATATATAGTCTGCTAGCATCTACGCGTAGAATATATATATCTTCCTAATCGCTATATATAATCTTTCGATTAAATCTTCCCTTTAATACCCGAGCCTATTTAAAACGATATTAGTATTAAGCTTAAAATATCCTAATACGTTTTACTTACTTAAACGCCCTTTTCCGTATAGTAAATTCTTTTACTTCCTCTCTTCGCCTAATAATTCTCCTTAATAGTTACGGAGTTACCACGGAATAGTAAAAAATTCTTATCGTGGGAGATATTTATAAGCTTTACCGCCTTAACACGTATATATATAGCGGTAAACCGGAGTATCTTTAAGTACTACGCTCGTAGTTAAAAAACCTAGATATTTCCGGGTAATATTATACTAAACCTAAAAAAGAGTATATTAGTAGAAAATAAGACTATATATAAAAAGAATAAAAATAACTTACGACTTTCTAAGGTGCCTTTTTTTTATCGTTACTTAAAGTATCTATTAAGATAAAAGTAGCTAAGCCGTTTTCTAATGTTTAAGGAAACTCGGGTATCCTAATTATATATAGGATCTTATAGACTTCTATAAATTAAGAGTCTAGCGTAAGTCTACTATTACTATAAGTAGATATAGAGATAAGAAATAGTTTATTATTAGTTTCGGGGCGAATCTAACTAAGGTAAGTAATTATATCTTTAAAGGATAATAAAGAATATATATACCTCCGGAATCTAATACCTTTAGATATTAATATTACTAGGTCGTCGATTAGGATTAAGTCTATAGAGATATAGTCGTAGATTCTTATTCTTAAGAAATCTATTATTATAAAATTTATCTTCCTGAATATTTAGTTTAGGAAGATCCTCTAACTCCTAAAGCTCACCACGATCGTCGAATAGCGGATTATACTCTATATCGAATAGATTTTAATATCCTCTAGAACTATTTCCGAATCGTTTCTTAATCGTTTCCTCTTATTCTATCTATTTATTACTATCTTCGCTATATTACCCCTCTCTATTTACCCCTCTATTAACGCCTAATACTTATTTAAGGCACACACGCATATTATATAACCCGTATAGGCCATACCCCACAGCAACTATCAGGTTAATATACCGCCCCACTTCGCCCCACACCAACTATCAGCTTAGCCACAGGCTTTAATATCAGTTTATCTACAACCACCTTCTGTTTTTACCAATCTATCCCTCCTTTATCCAGTCTTTTCAACTCGCACCCTGATGCGTGTTGGGGGGTCTCTTCGTTTATCTACTTCGAATACCTCCTCCAGCAAACGAACAGCATTACCGACAAGCTACGATCGACCAGTCTTAACATATTCCACCCTGCTCTACTCTTGATCTGCCCACTATCCCCTTTCGAGAAATCGAATCCCGTGATTTCAGACCAAACAAACGCCGCCTCTTCACCGTTTATTTATTTATTTTATCTTCTGTTTGGTTTGTCTCGCCTCAGGGCTGGCCAAAACAGAGCGTCTCACTGTTTTGACCCGCTGCTTGTTGCTTGGCACAGAGAAGACCTGGAACTCGACCGAGTCGCAGGACCTTAAGAGGAGCCTAAGGCCCGAGGGGACGGAACGGCACCGTCAACGACGCCATACCACTGTACGGATACGGCGCCCAAGAACTCAGCAACGTGCAACTTTCCCACCATACTTTTCGAGGAAGACTAGTCTGAGGAAGTCCCCTGGATCTACCCTTCAGGAGTTCCATTACCAGCAATCCATTACTTCTTACTTGGTCTTGCTCAAGCTTTTTTCCTTCTATTTTTCATTCTATTTTTTTCTCGTCTTTTCCTTCTTTTCTTTCCTTTCTAGCTTCTTCTTTTTCTTCCGCCCTCCCCCGGACGACTCGACCGACACTCAGAAGAATCGACCACCCACGCGATACACGAGAGACAGAGACATGGGCCTCGCGGCCTGAAAAGCCCCTGTGCTGGTCCCGTCTTCTCTTCTCTTGTTGGACTGTCTATCGGTCTTTGTCTCTGTCTACCTCTCACGCGAGTTCTGCCGTATCTCCACAGCGTTCTCCACACGCGGCCCGATACCTCTGCTTCTTGTCAGGAGAGGTCGGATCGGCTCTTCACTTTCGCATTCGCCCCAGGAAGAGGCATCTTCCTTCGCCCTTCGTGAGCCCGCCCGGCGTAACTGAGCTTCACCACGGGGTTTATGCGCATCGCATTCGAAATCAAACCCGTGCCGAATTCCCCGGCCAAATTCTGCCGCTATGGTGTCCTTTTTTGGCTTGAAGCTAGGGGGTGATAAGAAGAAGTATGGCCTCCTGATCTGCCCTTCGCATTCTCGCCGCAGGCTCCTCTTCCGTAACTCGTGATCACCAACTGACCTTGCGGCTTTGTCCACACAGGAAAGCCGCCGCGGCCGGAGAAAACCCCACGCAGGGGAAGAAGAACGAACAGAACACCCGCAATGACAGCTTGTACTTTGGGACGACTCTCAACAAGCACAACCTCCTCGACGACCCTTTCTCCATCCCTCGCCCCGATACAGCCGCCTCTCTTCGCTCCGCTCGCCCCCGGGCCCCTTACATGAATCCAGCCGCGTCCTCCAGCACCAGCATGGTTGACCTCACTGCCGGTCCTGCTCTCATACTGCACGCCACGCAGCCCAGCCTCGGCAACGCATCTTTGAGAAACTTGAGACATTTTGCCTCGGACAATAATATGCACTCTCGCTGGAACAACAGCACGTCGGGTCCCCTGCAGCCGCCTCATCTCACCCGCATACCTGGCGCCCCCGATATGGATAGGCCCGGGTCGGCTGGTTCTAGCTCGTCAAGGAAACAGTGGGTGAATCCATTAGACGTCCACTTCTGCCGCGGTTACACTCCAGCTCCGTCTCGGCCGTCGACCGCCACCGGCGCCAGACCCGCACCGACACCGTTGCGTCTGGATCCGGCGCCTCCCCAAGTCCCCGCTAGTCCGCTGAGCCAGTTCAAGTTCGACCTCAAGCCACTCGGCACTGCTTCTCAGCAACTGGAGGCGACTCAGCCACATGTGCCCGACATGGATCCTCTGGTGCCCGAACCTCTGAGGCCACGCAAACCGGACCAGGATTCACATCCAGCGTCATACGACGAGGAGAACCCTCAGCTTGCCCGACGAAGCGAGCAAAACGACTCTCGGGAGCCGGTGGCCGCCTATCCTTCTCCCCCATTATCCATGGATAATGTGCCGGTAGATAGGCCGCCGATGGGATCCACGATGAGGTTCGACATGGACGCCAAGCCAGCGAGCGGACCAACACATTTCACGGCAGGTGCAAACCAGCCACTTCGCGGAACTACATCTAAGGCGCCGACGTCGTCGTTGCCGTCACCGACCGGCTCCGCACCCCGAACAAGTGAGGAGTGGGAGGGGGCGGGCGGAGCTGTTATCCAGAACGTTGCCGCGAAACGTGACACGCTCACATTGAACGCCCCGCGCAGACGAAGTTTATCGTTGGATGTTAAAAAACCCGGCAGCCACCACGGCGGGGGTACGCAGCAGTGGGCAAACCCAAGTAGCAATGGAAGTCCTCCACTTAGAAATGCTCGCCGTCCGCCACCGCCAGCGCTTGACAACCGCCACGAGTTCCGTCCATATGTACCCCAGGGATTGCCAAGTCCTACAACGACGGCGAAGAATCGCGAATTCCGCGCTTATGTACCTCCGGGGTCACCTGGTCACGCCCCAGCTCTGGAGAGTCGGGATATGCGACCTGAAAGGTCCGCGGGATCACCGTCAATATCATCCCCACCTCACGGGGTTCGTGGTCCCATGCACGGATCACCCGCGACGCGAAGGCCGTCCCCGGCACTCCTCGACAGCCGACCACACCGTGGTTCCCCCTTGGTACCTTCGCCGAGTCCGACGCCACCGTCGTTGACAGAGGCATACCATAACCCGCCGCGCGGGGGAACCCCGACGCCAGGTGCCGACTGGCGTCCTCGACGACCTGCCGAATTTTCCGAAGGTGTCTCTGACGACGTGTCTGCTGTCTCGGCGGTGGATGTCAATCCGCCGCCTCTGGCACGTGCCGCCCCTGAACCGCATCCCAACATTGACCCGAGCCACCCTTCCAAAGGGCCTCAAGACTTTAATATGCAGGGCCGTCGGCGACCCACTATCGGTGCCGCGCCGCCATCGGACGGGGAGCGCGGATTCGGAGAGCGCAGTCGTGGGTTGTCGCCGGGCAAGCGACGCGCGCCGCCACCACCACGGCTCAATACAGTGCCTCCTTCGGCGCCGCCACGACCGCATGCGTCTGAGGAACAGCCGTCGCCGTCCCATCAAGGGCCACCGTACCATTTCCCGGTTTGGGATGATCGAAATGTCTTCTCTTCCCCCCGGCGGGCCCCGACACCTCTGGCTGCCGACACTGGCCGGGCCCCAGCGGTTGCGAAAGCGAGTCCGGGCCGGTCGACTCCAAACTGGCCCCTTCCCGAAAATGGCGTCGGCGCTGCCGGGGCCGACGTCGCTGGCGCGGGAGGCGTGGGGGGCAGCGGCACAGGCACGGGCACGGGTACAGGCACGGGCACGGGGACGGGCACAGGCACTCCTAGCGGCAGCGTGCCCGGGTCACCCGGCCTCTTTGCCGGGACTCCTTTTGCGAGCCCAGGGCTCGGGGGGTTCCCCGGTGGGAGTGGGAAGAGCCATTGGGCTGCGCCACCTCAATGGTCGGAAGATGGATACCTGACGGAGCGGGCGCGGACACCGCCTTATGGGCGAGAGGCAAGGCGCAAGGATGCGGGCTCGCCAGTGCAACAAGCTCTGCCACCTCACCACGGGCTTCGGGCGCCCACAGGAATGCCTGATGAGTTCCGAGCGGGCTTTATATGAGACTACGATGGCGTCGCAACGAAGCCAGGGGCTTCAGTGTTCTGTTTCTTATTTGTGCCTTCTTTTTGATTAGTTGTCCCCCTTTGATTCGGAGAGGCATCGTTACCACTGGTCTCAGCATGACTTGGAATATGAGGACAGGCAATATTAATAGCGTCTGCACACACACGTATGTACACATAGATGGGGGATACATGGGGGATACTTGATACCAAGATACCCGTAGTAGTATAAGGCGGAGGCGGTTGATTGGGTTTTAGCGGAGAAAGGATGAATTTACGTGTACAGCGAGTTTCCGCAGCGGGCATGATTGTGACGAGAACAAACACCGGTTATTATTGGCTGGTTGGCGCTAGAGATCTGCATAAGGGATTACGGATACAGTACCTTATATAAACTGGTTCTTAGCGTGTCGGGATCCGCCGGCTTTGGGACTGTTTCCAGGGGTTCCTCGCCCGCTGTAGCCCACTGGGAAGACGCGCTAATGCTTCGTAACCCCCACGCCACGACCGAGATTTTGGAGACGACCTTTTTTCGCTTTTCGCTTTTCCCCCTCTCTCACCTGCCGAGCCTTTCGACCTACAACTCCTCTAATCTCGGTTTACTGCTATCCGTCAATATTCTTTCTCTCACGTCTTTTGGGCGTCATCGTCAGTCAGTCGCCTAGGATACATCTCAACTTGAACCGGTTCTTCGACAGCAAAATCACCAGCCTGTTAGCTCTCGACTCAGCGGGTCGCTCTTTCGCGCAAGCTTTTGCTCGGACGCTTCTCTCAACTTGACCATCTCACGATAGCTTGCGCCGCATAGCGCCTTGTCTATGTCGCGTTGCATCCTTGGAGGCATCTGCACTTCTACATACTCGCGGGCGCATAGATCCATGCGCCTGCGTCGCGGGGGATAAGGACGACCGGCAAGCGACTTTCAAGTCTTTGCGCTTGCTTTCTGGGGGGACGGAAGAAAGACTTACTTCACCTATTTTTAAAGCTTTTTATTTTACGCATTTCTTATTTCTTCTCTGCGGCGGTGCTTTTCGAATTTGGAACTTTCAAGCATTGTCAAAGTGGAAATAGAGACGTCAGAAGCGCCCTCTTACAGAGAATACGTTGGTTTCACGCAGATCATTAAGGGTATGGATAGATGTGCTCCCTTGGGGAGCTTCATGGCTAACTTACCCACTGCCAGTTGATTGTCGGGACTGTCTATTGTATGAGGGATTCTTCAAGTTTCCTCGGATCAAGGATAGAAACATAAGGCAGTTATACGACTAGAACGGACGGTAACAATCGTCTCACTCGAGGTCACAGTTCGACAACTCCGAGACAACGGAACCTAAAACATGACCGTCAAACCGAATAACGACATCAGCCATGACGCGGCTCCTCCCTTGGGCGACTCCAAGAGCCTTGCCGAGGACGCGACCACCACTCTTGTTCATCCGGCCCTCGTCCCGGACGGCGACTCGGACTCGGACCCGACAAACACGCAGGGCCGCCGGGGCTCCGTGATCTCCGAGAATAGGCCAGGCCAGGAGCAGGAGCAGGACCGGAACCGAGATCAACCCACCGAGCCAGGGGAAACGCAGCAGCAGCAGCAGTCGTCATCGGAGTCGGAGCTTGTGAACCGGGGTTTCCAGGCGCTGGAGGTGAAGAAGGCCAACTGGTGGTCCTACTTCACCACCGTGGACTTCTACATCGTCCTGGTGCTGGGCCAGGTCCTCGCCCTCTGCATCACCTCCACCAACACCTTCTCCTCCTTCCTGGCCGAGAACGGGACCAACATCCCGGCCTTCCAGAGCATCTTCACCTACATCCTCCTCCTAATCATCTGGTGGCCCATCGCGCTGTACCGGCTCGGCCCCCGCGCGTGGGTGCGCGCCCTCGTCCGCGACGGGTGGAAGTACTTCATCCTCTCCTTCCTCGACGTGCAGGGCAACTACTTCACCGTGCTGGCCTACCGGTACACCAACATCCTCTCGGCGCAGCTCATCAACTTCTGGGCCATCGTGGTGGTGGTGATCCTCTCGTTCCTCCTGCTCCGCGTGCGCTACCGGCCCTTCCAGATCGTCGGCATCCTGGTCTGCTGCGGCGGCATGGGCCTCCTGATCGCGTCGGACCACATCACGGGGGCCAGCGGGAACGCGGCGGCCGACCGGCTCCGGGGCGACCTCTTCGCGCTCCTGGGTGCCACCTGCTACGGGCTGACCAACACGTTCGAGGAGTTCCTCGTGTCGAAGCGGCCCGTGCCGGAGGTGCTCTCGTTCATGGCGCTGTGGGGCAGCTGCATCCTCGCGGTGCAGGCGGCCATCTTCGACCGCGCGTCGATCCAGCAGGCCGTCTGGACGGGGCCCGTGGTGGGCTACCTCGTCGGCTTCACGCTGTGCCTCAGCCTGTTCTACTCGGTGGTGCCGCTGGTGCTGCGGCTCGCGTCGGCGGCGTTCTACAACATCTCGCTCCTGACGGCCAATTTCTGGGGCGTCGTGATCGGGATCCATGTGTTCGGCTACGCCGTGCACTTCCTCTACCCGGTCGCCTTCGTCCTCATCCTGCTGGGCCTTGCCGTCTATTTCCTCGCCGGCGGCGTGCTGGGCGAGTCGAAGAAGCCGTGGCTGGGCGAGAACCAGGAGGCCGGCGTGGCTGGGTTTGGCACCGCGAAGCTTAAGGCTATCCAGGCTGCTCGTAAGCAGCAGGCTCTCGCGGAGGAGGATCTTGAGGGGGGGAGCGTGCCTGCTGTGGCGCAGCAGCAGTAACGGCAGCAATAGCCGGGGGGGGGGGGGCAAGTCGGAGGGAGACCCTGACGGGGAAGAACTGCTTGTCGGTTTGTTTTTTTTACCCGACGGGGGTCATGTTGTGGACGTCGTGGAAGGGTTTGAGGCTCTCGGCTGGATGACAGGAGGCTTTTCAAGTGCTGTTGGGCTTTGGCCTGTGGTCTCCATCGCAGTGTAGGGTGGGAGAGGGGGGTGGAAGGTGGAAGGTGGCGGGATTGGTTGTCTAGGTGATGTCGTGAAGGTTGGGAGAAAAGGACAATCGGTATCTTTGGATGTGTCCGACGCGGGCCATTTTCTACTTCTCAAGATGTCAGGACAATGACATTTCCTTTTCTAGCTGTTGTGAGGATATATTCGACTACCCGACAACGCCGAACCATGCGTGACAGGACAACATCGCAACACGGACTAATAGGGAACCATAGAGAATAGAGTCTTTGATATGTTAGCTTCGATCGACTGCTTAAAGCTAAGGATTTGGGACGTTCTTCTAACTGTCCGTATTCGCGTGTCCAGTAGTACCTAGATACCTTATGTACGAGTACGAGATGTACTGTAGGTACCTACCTTACGTACCTAGGCACCTTATTACCTAGGTAGGTACTCTGTGTTTTTGGACGTTTCTACAGCGTACTTATGCACCATCGCTGTGTGTAACTCCATGGCACAGTGTTCTGCGGCTCGTACGTACAGGTTGAAACAAAAAGTACTTCCATATTCGTCCGTCCATACCTAGGTCTAGGTACTAGGTAGTGGGGGTTGTTCTGCGCGACATGACAAGGCAGAAAACAACCTGGAATAGAGTCGAAAATTATCCGGGGTAAGCAAAAGAAAGGTAACCAGCACATCTCGAGATGTAATTAAATTACTTCCAGGTTCCCAACATTGGATTTGGAGCAGAAAGTATCTTACAACGTACCTATAAACCACCGCCTCAGGCCTCAGGCGCATGTGCAGCGCGCCACACAGCGTCATCTCCCCATGTCAGGTCTTCGGCGTGACCAGTGAGAGCTAGGCGCCAACTCGGCAGGTGTGTGAGTTGTGTGAGTGCTACGCAGCTTCAGTGGCATAAGAGCTGCCCTGCTGGTATTTGTTGCGTTACCGGGCTGCCTGTTTAGGACACTGCTGGAGGTAAGGAGGCGATGTGATGTCAAGAGGCTTTGTTGATGTGTGGGATTGGGGGCAAGTCAAGTCGAAATAAATGCGTCGACCAGTCACCGAATGGGAGGTGGCGCCAGCAACTTGGGCCACGGGACGCCACAAGGCAGTTAGTCCCGGTGGCGACGACAGGAAGAACTCCCGTAGCTACCTACTTCGTGGTGCTCCATACTCGATGCGCTCAGTCACTTCATTGAGGAAATAAGCCATGAAACGTCGGGTTGGGTGGTTGCTCGATATAATATTTGGGTTACCTGATAAAGTATCGCTCCTCGTACCATAAATAAGTTAAGGTAGGGTAAGGTACTTCGTGATTAATGTCCGGAGGGCAATAAACTGGATACCTGGCTTGGCGTCAGGCGATTCGGTTCGTCCTCGGGTGCCCGAGCTTGCTAATCCTGTCGGGATATTTCCCCATCACATGGTGCGGAATACGGAATACAATACCTTAGCTAATAAGCGTATTTGTACTTCGTAACAACATGCTCAGGGTGCAATGGTCGAAGTACTTCGTACAACACGTACACTAGGTACACTGACTGCACTGAAATAAGGTAGGTAGGGTAAAGGTACAATACCCATTGTGTCCATGTTCAACTGGGACAAGAGTGGGGAAGTGAAGTCGTCCGAGCTTAAAGAAGGGGTTCATCCACAGACAGCGTTGACGGACGGTTAAACGGTTGACCTTTGTCTCTTTCGGAGGCATAAACGATCTTGTCTCCATACCTTCTCGAAGCCTGCTGGTGATGACATGAATCTTGGACGTAATCTTGGACGAAGTACGGATAGGCAGTGGTTATTTCGTAGGCAAGGGGTATCTTTCGGGTGAAAAGGGGCCGGAGATAATTGTTGAGATTGCTGGCGACAGGAAATTGACTTACGTTGTATATACGAAGTACCCGGGATGAATCTTAAACTGTAAGGTATACTGTGTCGAGAGCCCCGTTTACTGTACTTTGCTAGTGTCTGATCAAGCGTTAGTGCGACCAGGTATCAAAGCGCGCACTGTGCGGCGCGGGCTAGAAAAGGAGCTATCACCGCGCTCTCTTCTTGGCGACTTCCTGAGTGGAGACCACGGGGGAGGACGGGAGTAAGGAGAACAAGGATAGCACGAGGAAGTCCTTTACTATGTAATTCAACGGTGCCCCCCACTTAGTCGAATATTCCCGATATCTCCGGACACGTGCTTCGAGCGTTTTAAGCAGGTTATGCATAGTTTCTGTCCTTGGCCTCTTGCTAGAGCATTTGGGGCGGCAGCGGAAGAGGTGGAAGAAAGCCTGCTGGTCCGGAATAAGGGCGTTGTCTATAAAAATACGGTGAAAGGCCTAAGACGTTACCTAGGACACAGTGCGGATACGCATCTCAATTTTATCTGGCGCGTGGGACTCTGGCCGCCCCGCTAAGGTGCCTTGAACCCACGACTTTAGTCCAATCTCATCTCCCTTCGAGAAATTCGCCCTATTCCCGGAAAGGGTCTACCAGGCCGACTTCTACGAAATGATTCTACACTACGTTGTAAATAGGCAGTACCCGCCCTGATGGGTTCCGCTACGTGACTGTATGTACATTGTAGGTATGAAGTAGGTACGTCCGAAGTAGTTCGTTATGCATGTATACCGCTCGGTACCTACCTATATTAGAGACCTCGCAGCACGACGTACGACGGAGTCCCGAGTACCTACTGTTGCTGCTGGCGATGCGTGGTAAAGCTTCCTGGTCGTGTCAAATTACTTTACTGTTCGAGAAACAACGGATAGCCGTACTTCGTACTCCTTTATTATACCTTTGTAGACCATCCCGTTTCCCGGGCTCGATTACACCCACTTTTGGACAAGCCATTGTGGCGGCCCGTTACATCATTACATCAAGCCCCAAGATCGTTAATAAACAGCTACCTTATTAGTTGGCCTTCCCGTCCCCGTTGAGCGGTTGTCAACTTTACCATCGTCTCCGTTGAACGTTTGTCCAATTCCGCGAGCTCTCCTCGACTTCTTCTGTACGTGTTTCCGTCCGTTTTTGTCCCTTTTGTATCACGTCCAGTACTTTGCCATATGAGTACCTAAGGTAGGTACCGGTACGTGAAAAGGACAAGGTGACACACATGAAGCATCTCTCATCGTCTCACACATTAATCGCCGCTCCCCCCCCCCCCCCCCCCCCCCCCCCCCCCCCCCCCCCCCCCCCCTCCAAGTCCTTTCAGCCGACGAATACGGACAGAGAAGAGAACACCATCACATCTCTTCCCCACCATATTATCTTCTTCGTACTGTCCATACCTCCGAATGGTCCCGTTCCATGTCCTTGATACCACCGTCATTCGCGACCCAAGCAGCTGATGTCGTACCTTTGGGACGCACGAGTACATATACCCGATTTTGATGCCTCAGAGGCGATATGTGAGGGAGAGAATTTTTTTTTTTTGGCAGATTCCCCCCTTCTGACCCATCCAAATTGGTTACATCTTCATAAAACACGACATCGGAATACCATGTTTCTCCCCCTTTTGCCTCGTCCCCCAAAACGTAGGAACTCGCGAGGTGAAGCGCACGGCCCGTCTGGTGCGAACGACTCAGACACCTGGCGTTGTCGACTACCTTGGGGAGAGTCATCATGGACATCGCTCAAAGACAAATCGCTCCTTATATTCAAGCCCTATCGAGTAGTAATCTACGGATAGGACCGTCCAGTCTGAAAGGCTTGGTCATCTGAACGAGCAGCACATCGTCATTTTTCCTTCCCTTATTTTAACCCCCACGACTTCTGTAAGGTAACAAATTGAAATATCCAACCAGCTTGTTTCTCCACTTCATTCGGTTTTATATGTAGATTGTACATAAGGTACCTCACCATCTTTTTTTCCTCTGTTGGGTCATTTATTATTAGGACGTGTATGGTCATACATACATCGCACTCTCATCGTACTCGGGTCGAACTCTCCGTGCCTTATTCGAGGGCATCATATACGAACCTGGAATATAAAGCTTTACCTACCTAATAATTACCTTAACAGAGTCCTCGGTCCTCTTCAGTCTCGTCCCATCTCGAAGTGCTTTCGTCGTGACTTCCCGGGTACATCGTTGTCTGGTTAAGAAGGGTCTTGGCCCTGATGTGTTTGCCGAGTTTCTCCAACACTGTCCCATGTACCAAGTACAGTGCCCATACCTCGAAGGCGAAGGAGGAAGTCACCCTCCACTTCTTCCTTCACCTGGATACACACCCCCTTGTCGCTACCAAGACACCTGGGGGGCCCCCTAGGCGACCCAGTATCCGCGCCGTTCCCCCCTTCTCCTTTCCCGCTGGGTGCCTCCGGTTTTTTTTTTTTTTTTTTTTTTCCCTTCTGGCCTTAATCTTCCACGTTCCCCCCAATCTCGTCGCCTTGCTCCCGGCCCGAACAAACACCACGTCTCCGGCCTGCCATTGCCTCTTCGCCCTCCTTTTTCCGTATCCCCCCTTTTTCTCCCCCCTCCCTTCCTACCATCTCCTATTACCGTACCCGCTTCTCTTCCGAATCTGCGTTGGAATCTCCCGATCTCTCACTGTCGAGCAAGGAGAGAAGTTGAAAGTAGCCTGCGACTAGTTGAAAAGAGGCGGCTCGTCAGATCGGCTACAGGGCAACAGCTTGGTGCAGGTTGACCGGATTTTCAGCGCACCACTCGTCTGTTTCCATTTACGACTGGTCCCCTTGGTCCGCATATTCCACGTCTTAGGTCACGACACGCGACGCTTTGTGATACCCCGTCGTGACCTTTACTCGAAAAAAAGAAAGAAAAAAAAAAGAAAGAAAGCCAGTTGAATTCGAACAAAGTTCTTGTCGACTTCCGGTGCGTTATTATCCTCAATTCTCAACATCTCGAGCTTCACGGCAATCCCGGTCGTATCGCGTCCGATATGCAGGCGCGGGACGCTCTTCTCGACTTCTTCGAGCCAAACTTCCTTCCGCCTTTGCACCGCTCTCTTGTTCTGGGCCATCCACCGTCCACCGAACCTCTCCTCGCTGACTCGCTTCTCTAGAGGAACCTTTAAAACCTCGAATCTCACCCGACGCTCTCAGTCATCGTCCTGACGCGAACCGAACCGTCTCTTGAAAACCCTGCACATCGATTTGACAGCATTCAATAATGTCCTATTACGAGAACAACGCACAGTGGTCCAGCCCTACCCCGGGACAAAACAACTGGGATCACCAGACACCTGTGCGCGGTGGTGAGTCGGGCCCATAATCGATGGCGGCAGTCTGGGCGAGACAGAAACATATATTCCTCGGGGGCAAAGCACTGACCTTGCCGTTGCCTCGAACAGGATCTAGCGGACCGACCCCCCAGGATGACTTCGCCTTCTTTTATCAGTTCGAGGGTATGTTGGATTGAATTTGGACCGCGCATTTGCGCTTTGCGAGCCGGAGTGCGACCCCTTTGCCGCGTCGGCCCAGTCGCGCGGCGCTAGACACAAACAAACAGCTGACAAACATACCGTAGATGTGGCTCGGACACTAACTGCTAGACCTACAGAGGTTGACCGTGCCTATGAAACCCTAGCCAAGAGCGGCAAGTCTTTTGGACTTCCCCCTCGGCGTGAGTACTCTTCGCCCGGGCCCCGAATGGGCCCCGGCCCCGGCCCCGGCAGGAAGTCGCTGGACTATAGTAAGTCGACCCCCGCGTAGAGCGGGCAGTTCCGCGGAAAAAAATTGCACCAGCTGACAGGGTGTTTTGCTCCCCGTACAGACGGTCGTATGCCCGTCGGCCCCGGTTCCCGACCGCACTCGATCAACCAGTTCGAAGACCCCCGCGCCCATCCCAACGCGAACCTTCAAAACTTCTACGCTTCTCAACGTCACCAGCCCTCCCGCGGCTCCAGCGAGGCAGAGCAGATGATGCAGGCCAAGAGGAGGATGGCGGCTCAAAGGGAGCGAGAGCTGCGCAACCTCCACACGGAGCAGCAGTATCAAAGAAGTAGGCCTCCCTCAACTGTATAGTGCATGCGCACAACGCATTCAGATGGCAAATCGCCCAACCCAAAAAAAAATAGATAATTGTGGCCGAGGGATTTTGATTGAATCCCTTGGGGAGCAGGATTGACCTCTTCCCTACCGGTATCGGCGGCTGTCGACAATATGTTTTCCCCCCCTTTTCTTCCACGGGGGATTTGATTCCACCCCCCTGTCTTCGTAATCTCGCAGTTGCTTCTTCAACTTGACATGGGACAGACATGCTAACTCTCCTCTTCGTGTAGCTGTCCTTTCCGACATGAACTACGGGAACAAGCATATGTCCGAAGAGGAGACCCGTGAACTTATTGCCCGTCAACGCAGCGCGTTGTACGGAGAGGGCCTGTTTGCCGAGAAGGGAGGTTATGTCGATGAAACCGGCATTGTCCGCACTGGTTCCCTCGCCCGTAGCGGCCCCTCTAGCCTTCGTGGGGCTTCGCCGATGGCCTTCGAAGGGTCTGGTCCTTTCCGCAGCGGCCTGCCTCCCCCCAACGACGCCGCCAACCTGCGCAACCAGTCCCCCATGAACCAGGATCACCGCGGTGGCCCCGCCCCGGCTCATCAGGACGCCAACGCGTCCGTTTCTGGGCCTGAGACCGTGACTGGCTCTATGCCCGGCTCAGGCATGGAACAGGGATCCCGGACCGGCAGCACGTCCAGTCCTCAGCCGAACGCTGCCAACAAAACGGCTTTTGAATCGGCGGTCAGCCAGGCCGCGGCTCGCACCTCCAGCTCCTCCTCGCCCAGCGGGTCCCCCCCTAGGCAAGACGTGCCGGCCGGCTCCAAAGCCCCGCAGCATAACGCCACCGTTGCCCCGATTGGCACCCGGCCTTCTGGTACGCCTGGAGCGGCTTCCTCGGGAGCCTCCAAGAGGTCTACCACCCCGCTGGCGTCACCTGGCGGCTGGGGCCGCGGTAATGATGTCTGGGGCCCTCAGGCATCGGGCTTGAGCAGCGCAACCTCCGCCAGTGTGTGGGGTTAGCTCGGAAAGAATTGATATGAAAGAAGAAAAACGACAGTAACGGATATCGAGCTGCTACGGGGTGTTAATACTGATGCATCCGGGCTTGTACCCGCGTTCTGTTTCATCGCGTAAAGAGAGGGAAAGGCGCATGGGGTACTGATGAGCTGTCGTCCAAGTTCTGGATCTGGCGTACGACAGGGAAAGGAAGGGTATTGTCAACCATTGGCGTGATACCGGCGGTCTGGGGTCTTTTGTTGTCACATGGCATTTCCTTGGTCGCGGTTGCAGACACCTCCGATATATATGGATACCGAGGGAAAGTTTGAAGAAAAAAAACCCCCGAGGTTCTGCTCGGGTATCGGGGCGAAGGTGTTACTTTTTCCTTTCTTTTTTTTTTCTTTTTCTTACGACGGAAGGGAATCGCATTCTGCAAGCTTTGGAGTCGGAACATGTCTCTCATCGGGGGGAAAGGAACGGATGCATCTCGCTCAAAAAATGGGGCTTTTTCTTTGGGGTGGAAGGCGTGGGGTTCTGTTGTGTCAACGGTTGCGATTCAGGATACCACCATCTTCTGGGCTCGTGTTGAATGGACTGGACTGGGGTTTCTGGGGTCAGCTTGGCGATGTTGCTCTCTTTGTTTGTTGGTCACCGGGCCGGCCGTTTGTTGGGAAAGGAAAAAACAAAAGGGCGAGGGGCGTGGGGAGCAGAGGAAACCGGAGCCTCTGGCGTGGAAAGCTAACATGCCTCCGAAGGACAGCCAGCTCTCACGCCAAGTTTGCACGAAACGGGTTTGCTTGGTGTCAGGTTCTTGAGGGGTTTTCTTGCTTCTTTCTCGCCCTCCCCCCCCCCCTTTCGCTTTCTTGTTATCAGATCAGGTTGGGGACGGGGTTTGCAACGGAGACCAACGGTTTACATGACGAAGCATCGCCCATTGTGCGCAAGGTGGTGTTTTCGGGACATGGATGCGAAATAAATCTACAAAAAACAATGGTGGGGAGGGGTCATCGGCGCGAGGGGTTGGTCTTTTTTTCTTTGTTGGGCGATAATTCTTTTCTATTTCTTGTCTTTCATGGAATGTAATGCGCGTCCTCGGGGGGAGCTTGTATGGTCTTGGGGTTTTAGTAGATGGGGTTGTCTCTTGGAGAATCTCCGGCCCTTCACTCGCCATGTGGTTTGGTTTGGGCTCCTTGCACTCGATCTGGTAATAATAACGCCCTTCTCATCTCTTACTCTTAGTCTTTCGCGACGCATCCGAAACATTGCTGGATTTCTTTCTAGATTTGCGTTTGGTGAAGTCGGGTTGGGAGTTGATGACAACAACACTAACAAGAACGACGACTTCCTGCCAGCTACTCTCTGCAGGTAGTCGAATCACCTAACCTGTTGGGGTTGGTACTGTGAGGCTGTTTGAATTTACCCTCGTTCCTCGTTTCTTTTTCCCTGCTCCTTCGTCTCCATCTTTGGACCAGGATGCATGCAATGTCTCGGACTAGCTGGCCGGTCGCCTTGCTGGCTTCTAGCTCCAAGCTCCTAACTCCTAGCTTCTAACTCCTAGCTTCGGTCAGCTGGGCCACTGTCCCTCACCATCCTCACACCATCACACATCCCTGCCCCCTCTTCCTTTGAATGCTTCTCGAAGCGAGCTTCCAGGTTCTAGGTTGATCTGGTTTCCCAGTACTCGGGTTCATAGATCACGCTAGTCAGCGGAGGAAGGGAGTCTTTTTGGGCCGAAGCTGGAACTGGCCTACCTGTTTTATTCCATGTCACGGGATGGGTCGCTTATTGGGGATGATTCTTGGGCTAGGACGGGGACTCTTTCGCGGTCCTATCGCCAGGCTTTGATGCACCTATCTGCCCTGCTACAAGTGAAGAAAAGGACGAAGACGACAAAGAACTCCAAGTAAAATCGGGCCAGCTTCACGTGCAATATTGACACCATCCCGCTGGCAAAGCCGCTTCGCTGCCAAGTCTCATCTTCTGCGATGGCTTTTAGTAAACATCTTTGTCATCCCTTTATCGAACTGAACGCCTTGGAAGCCCCCGAACCCCTGACGCCACGAACACACCGTCCCTGTCCGCTGTCCTGCACTTTCTTGATCATTGCCCGCCAACGTGCACACCATGCAAAGGGGGAAAGAAACGAGGATGGTCCGGTTCTCCTGTTCCACTACAGACGGACCGAGTTCCTAGACGCAATGAAATACGATGTAAGCCCATTCCTGGGCCTAACGAACGTCGCACGTTGTCCAATTACACTGCGAGGAACGAACCAAGACGGCAAACAGGTCATCACATGGAGCCCTGGCACAAACAGTCATCATGATGGGCGAAGACATGGCGCTTTTAGGGGGGACGGGTCCCCCTAAAAGCGGCGCGGAGCCATCCTCGCGGGGGATGGGATGGGATCACAACGTTTGATACCCGATTGGCTGAGTCCCCAGGGTGGGTTGTGTTGGTACATACCGTGAATTTTGGCGAATGCGGTCTGATACTCCATTTGATGCTGTGGCCTCCGAGGTTCAACCTAGTGGTACCCGTACGACTGGTTGATAATTAACAGCCTTGCTCTTGTCCAGAGGGTTGGGCGGGCTACTTGGTTCAGTACTCTGTAATGTCTCGTCGTCGACACGTTCATTGGCGTTGGAACTTCGACGGGGGTCGTTCTTCCACCAGAGGGCCAACGCCCGAACAGCCTGGAAGAAGCCTTTGAATATAATTACATGTACATTGGCGACGGGGCAAGTTCCTGTGCGTGAGATGAGATGAACGTCGGGGAAGGTGTCATTGGCGATATGGGTGAAGCCGACCTGGGGTAATTACTCCGTACATACTCTGTACGAATCTTCGTATTGGAATCGAACACAGGAACGGACGGACGATGGCGCGGCGCACTGGCCCGACATTGCGGAACGGCGCGGACGACCTGTCTCCGTCACTCCTGGTTGGTGCATGGGAAGAAAATCCCGTCGACACAACAGCGCCTACATAATTAAAGCACAATGGCACTGCAGAGCATAGCAATGAGATCGCTTCCCAAAGAAAATCGAAGATACGTTGGTTCCGACGGCCGAAGTGAGACTCAGGGGCGCCAATAGCCTCGATTAAACGTATTTCTGCTGACAGCGTACGCTGCCCAGCCTCGTAATGTGCGTCGTTGAAGAGTTCCACCGGTCCCAATATCAAGTGAGATCGTGAAGCCTCAAATGCGCGGCCTCCCGCTCTGTTGCTTGTTCTGATCGATCTGTTTTGGGTGCTTTGCATTGCTAAAGGCGGAGGTTCGTGGCGGGATTCCTAGTGTTAAGTTAAGGTTGGAGCGGGAGACGGGGGCTGCTGAAGGGCGGGAAGGCCTCGTCGATCCCATTCCAGCCCCGCGGATCCGCTTTCTGTACGCCACTCCTCCGATCTATCCTGCCTCGGAGGTCGGGCTGGCAGACTTGCCGGCAGACGCGGAGGCCGGTTTTGACTTGCCGGCAACGCTTCGCTACCTACCTTAGGTATGCCGGTAGGTACGGAGTAGTATCGGACTTGCGTCGAACTGCCTGTTAGCTACTGCCACCTTTCTTACCAAGTAAGACAAACGGGTTTCTCGAGTCGAACGGAGTTGAGAAAGGGTTTGCGGCGGTTGATCAACACTAAGACCAGCCCCCTTGCATTTGTCCATTCCCTTTGCGGTTGGGAGGCCATTCGCCTGCGTCTTAACCTCAGACGACAAGCTCGGTGAAAACTACTTCGTACGAAGTACTGGGCAAGCCGGATCGGCCTCATAATGGGGGACGATCCCATTGACAAGAATGGTGGCCCTATTGTAAACTGAGGTGGCTTGCCAGTCAGGACACCAGTGGTCTAGCATGTGCTCGGAGCTGATACCCGAAAAGAGAGAAGCAAGGGAAGCATATATGAGAGTAGAGAGCCGAAGCAAACATCATGGGAGGACCATGAGGGAGATGGCTGGGGAAATTCCGGGACTACTCGGTGAAAGCACCCTTGATGACTTGGAATTCAAACTCCCAAGGTGATGCTTGATTATTCAAGTCGAGTCGCATCGGGTACGTGCATGTCGTCCATGTCCTTTTAGGATGTCGACATGGACTTGACGTCGGCAAGGCAAGACCCCTGGCACTTGGGAGTCGACTTCGAGAAGCCAAGAACCCGGGGGCGGGGAAAGTAGGATGAATAGGAAGAAGGAAAGTACGTGTATCGAGTAAGTAATTAAACAGTAGCCGCCGGGCTACCTCGAACGAGGCATTTCAGCCTGTTTCGGGATGGACCTGCCTAATAAATGGAGATGGGAAGTTGAAGGAAGAGTGGTGGTGCTGGGGTGAGGCAAATCACGTTGGGACTTCTGAGGTCCACACACCAGTCCATTAATAAGGTAAGGTACTAAGGTAATGTCCTTCATGATCACGGAAATTTCTCGATACTCTGTCCTAGGTACCTCATGAAGAGTGTATCGAGTACCTTACCTTAATTACCTAGGTACTAATTACAATGCCACGGGTGCCTCGTAACTGGATCTTGTATGGGGTACTCAGTACGGATTAACTACGGAGTATCGACTGAAACAATCGTAACGGTACCTTAAGGTAGTTCATAACTCAGGTACCTTACCTTATTGGCGGATGAATCAAAGTGGCGCACTGCTAATTAAGGTAGTCTTCGTCATTGAGATGCAGCACCAAAAGGCCTTAATACACTGGGTAAAAAGCAAAACCACGCTTTTTACTATACGAAAAGTAGAGTTATGGCGTCTTTTTTCCCCCACCCTCTTGTTTTCCGTTATTTTTGCTTTCGCATATGTAGTTCCACCCGGTGCTTACGATTCCGAAAAAAGGGGTCCTCGTCCCGTCTTATGTAGGAGGGATATTGTGGAGGACCGGGAGGTAATTTTCGTATGTAAGTATACCTCTGCCAGGTTAGAAGCGTTAGCTCGAGACTTTGCTCCCTATCTCGATCGCTTATTAGATTGTACTCCGATCTGTATTTTCCCACCTATTTTGTATAGGCAGGTACAAAGGCCTATGACGATCAGGACGCAGGTACCTGGTAATTGAAGCTATTACCACCTTTCGAGTGCATTAGTAGGGGGAGCTACGCACGCTGCTTAGAGAGGGAGGCTATTACTAGGAGACCTTAGAGCTTTGATTTATACGATTTCTGCTGGCCTGTATCGGGTTACTGAGATATATTACGAAGATATAGGTTAGTGATAGCGGTGATAGCGGTGATAGCGATTATGGTGGTGATAGTGGTGATGGTGGTGATAGCGGTGAAGTGATATAGTGATGGTGGCGAGAATAGCGTTTGGTGTAGATATAGGGACTTGGAAATACTAAGAGTTTATATGTCTCTGGAAGTACTCACGCTCGCAGTGGTCTCCTGTTATCCCTAGCCAGTCATATTGCGTTGTATACGCGCTAACGTTTCTAATCTTGTAAGAGGTGTACTTCGTATACGTGGCTGTTTGATTTTGATAGATGTGGATGTGGTTGGATGGCGGGATGGAGGATGCTGCGGGAACAAAACGGGCAGGCCGATTTGGCTGCCTTATGTAAGCACTACTACGGGTGGTAGATACCCAAAGTACGGACGCGGAGTACCTAATTATATAAGGTAGTCCTGAGCAAATGATTCCATGGTTCTGTGCCATGTCAGAGTGCCTTGACTTTGTACCGAAATAAAGCGATGTTTGATCCAAGGGCAAGGGTCTATGTCTTCAAGATGTCTGGCTATTTTTATGCTTGGTGAATAGACCCTTTCCCCCTCCGGCTAATAAGGCCTGTTCGATATCGCTTATAAGCTAGCGGAAAACTACTAAAGTTTTTATAAAATATATAAACGTAGCTAAGACGCTATTTTAACGCTAGCCTATGCCCTTAATATAACCTTTTATATAATAAGTAAAATATTCCTTAGGAGAATATTAATCTAATTCCGTAGAATACTAGGTAGAGTCTTATAGATAAAAAATACTAAGAGACACCCCTGCTTAGTATAAAACTTGTATAATAGAGGAATATATAAAACATTCAGTTATACTAAAAATACTATATGAAAGGGGTTCTTTTATTATTAGCTTAGTATTTTTATATATTTCCCTTATATCTTAGTAGCTTTCCGCTAGATTATAAGCGATATCGAACAGGGCCTAAACCACTTATCTACCTATTAGTCCGGGTGCTAATTAGTCTATTCCTAATAACCTACAGGGGTAATTAGACGAGCATTTTGCTCAATTCAGGTCCTTTACTTAGGTATGTTTAGTCACGGAGTACTTACTGAGGTGGTATGACATACATATTACCTACTGCCTACCTTAGGTAAGGTACCTTAAGGAAGGTATGAAAAGACTCCGTGTTGTGCTGTCATGACCACACATTTGCCCACATATATGGGAGTACAAAGTACTCCGTACAACCTACACGCAGAAACATCATCCACACCACAAAACATAAGGTACCTACACACAGGTTAGCCCCCATTGTCCATTAGTACCTCCCTATTCTATCCCACCATCCACCATTCTCCATCGTTCCTGTCCCTCCAATAACCAGGAAACGGTTAGTAGCACCTCGTGTACTTCGTACCTTGTACCTTATTGCTTCGTGGGTGCCTTTTTTTTTTTTTCTTTCTTCCATCATCTTCTTTTCTACCTACGAAGCCTTTAACCACCACGAACTAGATCGCTGCACTCATCTCGAGAGCCAAACTTGGGAACCGAAAAGGAGACATACCCCGATACATTTTGTTCCCTGTCTATAATCTTTCTGTTCCCTCTCACTTGTTCTAACAAAACTGTGGACCATTGTGTGCCTTAACACACGCATTCACCTGCATTTTGCCTGCACGAACATCACGATCTTGCCTATTTAGCATTCTTGACGATCCCCTCCCACCATTCAACACTTGCCCTTGAACCGCTCTTGTCTCTCTTTCCTTCTATCTGCGTATAGCAACTGCCTTAGCCTTTATATACTTGGCATAATCTGCTCCCCCCTTCTTTCCCTTCGTTGTCTGGTATACAACTGTACTCCCTTACACGTCTCCACCCACTCTTTTTTTCTTCTATCACTTCCTTCTTCTTTCCCCTGCCTATCACAAGCGCGCATATGCTATACCCGTAATTTTTGTGCGGCTGCCACTGCCTCTCTGCTTGAGTCTGTCCTTGTCTCGACTACTGTCGCTGGAGTTGTTGACTGGGTGAAGCCGCGCGCTTTGGCTTGAAACTCCTCCTCCTTACTCCTGGATTTGCATACACATCAACATCACTGGTATTCTCTACAATCCTGTTGTCAGCGAACCCCGACGCTCGTTTCGTTTGCGTCGTCTGGCGTCCGAAGCCACGTCGAGATCCGTTCCTCTCAATTCAACCCCGGTCGTCATAGATTTCGCGGTCACGGTCCACGGTCCACATCTTCGTGGCCCTCCCCCCTGTTCCAGTCTAGTCCCTCCCGGGGGGCCAATGTCCTCCGATCTAACCCTTTCTCCACTTGCCTCCCCTTTCCGCTCTACAACCGACCGTCCCGCCGCTTCTCTTTTCCGCAACATTCAACTCGCCGTCGACCGACCAAGACACCTATAGAGAAAAAACGTACACCCCTTCATCGACCGAATTCGCTGGACGGATATCTGCTGCCACGAAAGACAACCCCAAGCCAATCGAGGCTCCCCCATCTTGACCATCGAGGCCCTCTCGCTTTAGCTGTTCCGTCGACGGCCTGACTCAAGCCTAGCCTACTCGGCTCTATCTCGCTTGCTCTTCGCGGGTGTGGTGGCACTTCGCACGAGAAGATAAAATCAGCTTCATACCATTCGACGACCTCGTCTGTCATTACGGTTGAGAAGTGGCGACTTTACGGTTCGTAAATATCCTCATTTTCGGCTCTGTCGTTTCTGTCTCATCTGCCTTTCGTCCTCGACGAGGCACTTGCTGCGGTTCAGGACGACTTGGCCGATCTCGAAAGTCTTCCCATCGGCCTTCGCTGCATCCGAAACCTCTCCTCTTACAATAGACAATTTGCCTCTTCACCGGCGTCGAGCTTGGGCCCGCTCATAAGCTGAGCTAGGGTCGCTCCATGGCAAGCCAAGGGACCACGGCAGACCAGGCACATAATTATCACGCACCAGGCCCTTGGGCTCAGTCTTCGCCAAAGACCTCCCCTGCCATCGCCACACCGACAAACCCCCTGACGACAGCGTCGACGGCGCACCCGGCTTCGTCGTGGTCGATTCCCCTCCCGAACTCCTCTGCAGCGTTTCCCGACGCTGTCAGTAGCCCGGCTTCAACCCACGTTGACTTCTGGCCCTTCTTGTTTCCGCAGCAAGCATCCCTTTACCAAGCGCAACTTCTCCACTACACCAATTTGATTTCCCCTGGGCGAGGAGGCGGATTGCAGCAATCATACCCGCTTTCCCCTTCCGCTGCCCTCGCGACCTCCTCTCACAATCCGCCGTCGTCCCGACCACGGGCCTCCTCCAAGGTGACAAATAAAGAGCACCACAACAATAACAACAACACCATCAAGGGCGTCGAGAAAGGCCATGGGAATAAGGTTACGAATACCAAGGAAAAAGGCGACCGAGCTGTCATAGCAGGCAAAGAAAATTCGCCGTCCAAGATGCCTTCGCAGAAACAAGCCCATTCTCACCAGAACCACCAGCACCAAGGGGAGGTACCACATCAGCTACCCTCCCGGCCGCGCGGTGGCCGCAAGCAGGCCCCCCAGCCTCACTCCAGCTCGGTACCGTCTACCCCTCCTCAGCGCGCTAGAAATTTCACCTACGGGTCGAGAGAGCCGTCGCCGACCAATCACAACAACCATTCGCCTCGATCTGCCTACTCGGAGACGAACAGTGCGCTGCCGTCGTTGCGGCCCCTGCCAACATCGGGATGCCAGTTCGAAACGGCGCAGGGCAATTTTAGGAGGCGGATGCCCTACAATATAGGGACTGGCATGGTGGAGAGGGTGGATCCGGAGAAGATCAAGGCCAAGCTGTCGGAAGATGACGAGAGGAAACTGACCACAGATATGCGCGAGCTCTATGACAGGTTACTCCCGACCCCACGGGTTGAGGAGAACCGGCGGAAACTTGTTGCTAAGCTGGAGAAGATCTTCAACGACGAATGGCCTGGGAATGAAATTCGCGTCCACCTTTTCGGTTCGTCGGGAAATCTCTTGTGTTCCGACGACTCGGATGGTTCGTCTCCCATTCTGTTCACTCTTTATGCCATGACCCTCCCCCCCAAAAAACAAAGAGTTGGAGAGGCTGACATTTTCTTTCTTTTACCGCCACAGTGGATATCTGCATCACGACGCCATGGAAAGTCTTGGAAGGAGTTTGTATAATTGCCGAACTGCTTCATAGGAGTCAGCACACCCTCCCTAATATAGCCCTTCATCCGATGTTTTTGGACGAACTTAGCGCTGACTTTCTTCTTGTATCCTTGCAGAGGGGATGAAAAAGGTCGTCTGTATTTCGGCGGCAAAGGTTCCCATCGTCAAGATCTGGGATCCAGAGTTGGGCCTCGCCTGCGATATGAACGTCAATAACACTCTGGCCCTCGAGAACACCCGCATGGTGCGAACCTATGTCGAAATCGATCCTCGGGTGCGGCCGTTGGCAATGATCATCAAGTACTGGACAAGAAAACGGATCCTCAATGACGCCGGTAAGTCGCCTTTGTGCACACTGATGGTGGGGGAAATTTTAAACAAGCCTGATGCTGATCCAAATGTCTCCAACCTCAACAGCTTTCGGTAGCACCTTGAGCTCGTATACCTGGATCTGCTTGATCATCGCCTTCCTGCAGCTACGAGACCCACCCGTCGTTCCGGCGCTTCACCAAGTCAAAGACAAGCGACTTCGAAACAAGGAGGGAACAGAGAGCTCTTTTGCCGATGACGTTGAAAAATTGAAGGAATGCACTGGCCAGAATACCTCCACGCTGGGCGAACTCTTATTTCAGTTCTTCCGGTACTATGCCCACGAGTTCGACTACGACAAGTACGTTCTGTCGGTGCGGCTAGGCCGGATTCTGCCCAGGGCGGAGAAGAAATGGATGCACAATCTGTGCATTGAAGAACCCTTCAATACCGGACGGAATCTTGGTAATACCGCAGATGAGTACTCCTTTCGGGGACTTCACCTCGAGCTCCGGAGGGCTTTCGACCTCATCTCGGAGGCAAAACTGGCGGAATGCTGCGAGCAATATGTCTTCCCGAAAGAAGAACCCCCACCACCCTTCATACGGCCACCGAACGCACCACGGCCCGTCATGATTCGCAGCTCGTCTCAACAACAGTCGGGACGAGGGGGCCGCGGGAGCAACCGCGGACGTCATTCCAACACCTACCGGAACGGGAGCTTGAACAGGCGCGCGTCCTCGAGCGTTGCGTACGATACGAACTCGATGTACTTGCCGCCGGTTACACTGACACCGCAGGATCTGGCTTGGTACGCCCAACAGCCGCCCTCCGCTGCTCCGTTCCCGTATACCATCATGAGCGCCGCCATGATAGCCCAGTCACAGCAGCAGCAGCAGCAGCAGCAGCAGGCTCAACAGCAGGACGGTACCATCGGGCTACAGCTCTATAATCAGTCGCAGGTAATCCAGCAGATCCAAGCACAAATGACGGCTCAGCTGCAGGCCCAGCAACAGCAACGGATGCAGGCCAGTTCCTCATCGCAACAACCGCAGCAGAAGCAGCAGCAGCAGCAGCAGCCACCGCCACAGGCACAACCGCAGACACAGCAGCAAGGTGCGTCTGGGCGATCGAGGACCAATTCGCTTGAGAACGGCACGCCTCTTAGCGCTCCGTTGGCCGGGCCCGATTGGTACAGCATATACCCCTTCGCATACCCGTTCTTCCCCACATCTGGTTACACCTACCCGTCGTCCCCAGCTACTACGGCATCCGCGGCAGTCCCGGAATATCGTCGGAGCATGCAGAGATCGGGTGTATCCGCGGAGTCGGGCACGTCGGTAGCAGGGAGCTCGCTTAGATCGCAGTCTCAGCCTGCGTCACGGACCATATCAGCAGGCCAGCACGGCCAGCCCTTCTCCGGATCGGCTCCTTCGACCAACGGGACTATGGGCCCTAGATATATGAACGGTGTCTCCATCCCCAGCTTCATGCCTGAAGATGTCGACTACGATGCCGGCCCGGCGCAGCCGTCGAGCGATTCCCCAGCGTCTGAAGAGGGCCCATATGTGGGCTATTACACGCCGGAGATTGCGAGCCCCGAAAAAAGGGCACAAGTTGCTTCCAATGGTATTGCCTTTGGTGATCTCACGCAGTCTGGCCAGGGACAACGGCGTCGGCTGTCGACAGAGCAACTGCCCCAGGCGCTGTTGGATCGGCGCATCCGAAAGGCATCCCGCTCGCCCTCACCACTCGGTCACTCTCGATCTTTCTCTATCGGCAACTCGTCAAGTCCGGCCACCCCGTCTCCGTTCCCGGTGAGCAGCTCTCGGACGGCAGCGAGGCCGCTGGTGGTGAACGGTACCGGTTCATCCACGTTGCGAACAAGTTCTCTCCCACCCCAAGCGCCGCAGCCCTCGGGGCTCTCGGAGGAGGCCAGTTTCCCCGTCGCCGACAGCTCCCCGCACCCCGAAGAACAGGCCGCTCACGCGACTCGCTCCGGACCAATGGAAAACCAGACAACGGCATCGACAGTGGAACCGACCCCGGCGCAGCCCTCTGTGCCAGTCATTGTCAACGGGAGTACGAACATGGCGGCAGCAGGCGCGCAAGTGTCTCCATCGATGCGGCCGGCGGCCGCGTTGCCTCCGGCGATGGAGGAGGCTTCGTTCAGAGACCGGATTGCCTTGATGAGTATGGACCCGTATCTAGCCAACCAGAGTCTGTTCCAGTCTGACTGGGCTTATGCTGGGCAGTCGGCCATGGCTCGGCAGAGAGCTCTGTCTAGGCAACCGCAGAACGGAGTGATAGCGCCTCTCGACCTTGCGATCCGAGATAACCGAGTGGCCGGGCATTTCTCAGGCACGGAGTCGGCACACCTGTCTCCCATCAACGAGGCGAGGTCTCCCTCCCCCACCGCTGTAAGAAGAGGTGGGGAGTCTTCGGTCAAGAACGATAAGCTGGCAGGCAGCTCGTATTGCCCGAATGTGGACACGCAGACCGAATATGCAGGGCCGGAGCATCCTCGTGGACATGGCAGTGAGTCGGCTGCAAAAGACCACAGGGCAGCTCAGACTCTGCAGGCCCAGCCATCATCACACTCGCGTCACGCAAAAGCGGGAGGGGGGAACACGGGTACGGCACACTCGCAAGCGGGTCACACGTCCCAGCATCCTCACACTCCCCCTCAGGGGCCGGGATCTCGTCCCAAGACAAACGCTTCAAGGGAAAATGGACACGTTCGTGGAGCCAAAAGCGAGAGCTTTAACGCCGAAGGCGTGTGGCAAAAGGCGACGAAGGGCCGCAGAAAAGGTGGTGGTGATGGCAGGAACGGAGCAGCCGGATTCCTACCAAGCGAACAACCTCCGCGACACGAAGCAGACCGAAAGGGCGGTTGAGCCCAGCATGATCGACACGTCTTTTCCTTTTCCTTTTTTTCCTTTTATTTTTTATTACTTCCCTATGTCTCGGGGCGTGTTCTTCTTTAGTGCTACGGCCATGGCTTCTGCGGGTTGCTTGACGCATCATTCCTGTCCTAAACATTCAGGGAAATGGCATGGAGGGTGTTCTTGGATAGCTGCTAGGGTTGTAAAAGTTGGAGGACACAACTCCTAGAAGATGTTCATGGATGTTTGGACAGAAGCTTGTTTATGTTTTTCCCCAGTCGAGCTCGAGGTAGGAGAAATGGGGATGGAGGTGGGAGTTAGGCCTCATCTGCACGCAGCAGCAATGTTTGTCGTGTGGGGCCTTGTATGATTATGAGGATGATGAGGATGTCGTGAAGGGGGGGCTTGATGGTATCGGAAGCATTCACGCGGGTTCCTTTGAGATCATTTACAGGCGAACAGGCGACCTCATTCGAGAACTGGCTTCTGGCTGGACGCCCCTTTTTCTTTTTTTCTGCGCTCTCTGGAAAGAAAATGTCAAGACCAGCGGAACGGAACAGGATGGCAGATGCATTCAAGGGATCTCATCAAAAGCAGCAAACTCCCTTTCCGGCTTGAGACAGATGTCAAGGTATAGACACCAGCTACCAGCTCTTTTCACAGTCGCCCAGGCACTGGACTTGACGGACGGCATTGGTCATTTCATCATGCATCTCTTCATTGCGAGGCGCGTCATGTTCCTCCAAGTTAGGGAGACGAGACGGCAATCGATGTTCAAGGGGTATGGTCTGGGGGTCCCCCCCTTGATGATGCTATTTTCTCCTTTTGTTTTCTTTATTTTTTCCTTTTATCGTTTTCCTTCTCTCTAGTCTTTTCGGTATTACATTGCAGGCACGAAAAGGTGGCATAGGACCAAGGGCTTTCTTCATGAGCGGTGGGGGTATCAACGCATCGGATTCTGTTATTTCTTCTGATCGGACAAAGGGGTTTAGTTCTTTCCGTCAAGGCATGGTGTGATACCAAGGCTGTGTTGTGTTGGCGTCCGCATATACAAACGGACTGACTATTGAAGAAAAGCATTAAATAAAAGAAACTCTTACTAATAGTCATTTCCCGGTGTGCCTTGTTGGGGTTTCTGGAGAAGATTTCTTTTTTATATACAAATGTTTGCATTGACTAAAGGCAGCTTTCAACTGAATTCAATGCCTGGCTTGCACCCACAAACAACTCGGGGCCAAACTAGGCCATCCACTTTCGGATTGTCGCATGCGTGGACAAGATGAGGCTACAAAAACCCAGCATATCCCTTGCACGATATTAAAGCCCATCTTCCTTCCTATTCTCCTCCAAACTCACTCTCTCCAGACACTCTCCACCCAATGGGCCTTACAACACGAAAAAGAAAAAGAAAAAAAAGAAGAAAAAATCGGGGGGTTTGTTGGCTTCCCTTGATAAACAAGGTACAGACACCTGTCGCCACGAGAAGGCCAACCCCAAGACGAGCGCCCTATAAAACGTCAGCAAAAAACCATAACCTACCGTTTCGATACAGTCTCCGAACTGCCTCTGAGCGCTCATGATCGGGATCATCAGAAGCACTGCCCATCTCCTCCGCATCTCCTGATAAATAGCGGCCCTCAGGGAAAGGCCCCGTCGTCATCCGATCCCGGCCCGTCGCCTTCTCGCCCTGCGATTACAAGACGACCCCACGAACAAGACAAGAACAAAAACAAGAACAAGAACCCGACCCGACCCGAAAGCCCGAGGAAGAAAAAGAGAAAGAAAACCAAGAACAAAAGACCAAACACATAAGAAATACAGAAACCCTCCCACCTCCCAAAAAAGAAAAGAAAAGAAATATGCAGAAAAAGAACAGACCCAAACTCCAAACAACAGACCGCAAAATCCAAACTCCGAGATAAAGATATACAGAAAAGCCAACGCAGAAAAGCATTTTTTTTGTAATTTCCAATTTTCCGCCCTTTTTTCTTTTCTTTTTTTAATTTTCAAGTTTTTTTGTGAATTTCCCATTTTCAATTTTTTTTAGGTGTTTTCCCAGAAAACCAACGAGACCACCTGCAGCAGCAGAAAGGATCGGACGACGACGGAGCAAACGAAAGTGTCGATCTGCACGGGTGCCTTGCATCTAGGGAACCTGCTGGCCCAGGTCCTGACTCGGGTAAACCGGCTAGTCGACTGGAAGAACATGTCAGTCTGTGAAGGTGAAGACAGAGAGAGAGAAATGGGAAGAGGAAAAGGGGACGCGAACCACGTCGAATTGCTGCTGGTTACGGTGCCTCCGAAGAGGACTTCCAAGTTAAAGTTGCCTCCCGATTTGTACACGGGAGGTCTTTCCGAATCCCGAGGGCCTCCTTTCGATCGACGAAGGAGGGCTTTCCTTGACGCCTCTAGTCGGTCTAGAGGACTTTTCCCGAAATGGCCTCTTCGGTAGAGGGCTTGCCTTGACGTCCCGAGGGCCTGCTTCGGTAGAGGGCTTTCCTTGACGCCTGCCAGTCGATCTGGAGGACTTCCGCTCGAGGCCTCGCATCGGTGGAGGACTTTCCTTGACGCCTCTAGTCGGCCGAGAGGACTTTTGCTCGGGGCCTCGCGTCGGTGGAGGACTTTTTCCTTGACGCCCCTAGTCGGTCTAGAGGACTTGAATTTCGGGGCCTCGCATCGGTGAAGGACTTTTCTTGACGCCTGCCAGTCGATCTGGAGGACTTTTGCTCGGGGCCTCCTTGGGGGAGGACGCTTCGGTGCCTCATTGAGGACTTCTAAGAGGAAAAGGATGACATGCGGAGGTGCCTCATGGAGGACTTCTAAGAGGAAAAGGATGACATGCGGAGGGTGCCTCATGGAGGACTTCTAAGAGGAGGAACGGTGACATCTCGGATATGCTCCTCAATCGAACCAGACCCACTTGACGAGGGAAAACCGGTGTTCACGACCGGTATATCGGCTGCCGAGCCCTTTGACGAAAACGGGCACCGGAATCTGGGTCGGCCAAGGCCTCCACCCACGAAGGCCAGTCCTCGGTGCCTCTTCCGGAGAAGAGGATGATGGCGAGGTACCGGTGGCCGTCTGGGCGCCGTGAGCACGGTCCGAGGAAGATGCCGAGCCGGAGTTGTTGAAGTCCATTTCGCAAACGGACGAGGCCGGCGTCGCCGTGGGTGTGAACATCCGCCGGCCGGGTCTCTCTTCCATCGAGAGAGTCGCGAACCAGGCGGTGAGATGGCCGTTCACTTCGATCTCGCCCTCCTGGTCCCACAGACTGTAATCGGGCGGCGGGGTAGTATTACCCTGCTCGCGATCCCAGTCGGAGACGACGATGCGCGGCGGCGCAGGAGGAGGCTGAGGACGACGGGGGGGCGGCTGGTTGTGGTGGCGGCGGTGATTGTCCTTCGACGCCTTGTCTGTCGACCGCTTGCTGGCGGAGGCTTCCTTGTCGGTGGTAACCGGCGACTTGGAAGTGGTCGAAGACTTGACCGGGCGTGAAGATGGCGCCGAGAGCTTGGTGGTCTTTCCAGCTTCACCGACCTCCTTTGGCTGGTGCTTCAAGCACTTCGCCGAGGAAGAAGGTTTCGGATCCGCAGAGGGCGGCTCTCTAACCGGCTTCTTGTCGTCCCTTGCGCGACGCGTTGCGCCAGGCGGGAGGGTGCGAGTCGTTGTCGGAGTTTTACGTCCCACCCGAGGGCGAGACGACGATGAGGTTGGTTGAGCCTTGCCCAACCGGGCGTAGTGCTTCTCGATGGCCGCTTGCTGGCGCAGAGCAAGACGGTCCTTCTGTGAAGCCACCGCGGCTAGGGTTCGCTGCGAACCGGAATCCGTGGGAAGAGGCCATGTCAGGAATAGGTCAATGTATGGATGGGCATGATGGAAGAGCTACGACGGCAAAAGGACGACGGGAAAAGGACGACCGGGAACGGGGTAATATGAAAAGGATGGTGGGAAAGGCATGATAGGCAAAACTACCGTGGGTTGGGTAAGGTCGTGCTAACGTGAGGAGAATAAGGCAATAAGAGAAAACAAAACGACCGGGACATGTTTTCAATAATGAAGAGTGACAGGGCAATGTGAAATGAGCTCGAAAAAAGAGAATGCAATGGGTATGATAAGAGAGTGTTTCGGTAAGGGATAACATCGCTTGATGATAGCCAAACAAAACGTTGTGATGGCTGTCATGATCCCGAGTAGAGACGTGTAGAGGATGACCGGGAGGGAATCATGAACAAGGTGCCAGGGAAGCTTGGGAAGTAATGATGGAAAATGGAAGAGTAGAAGGATATAGTGTCTTGATGCAAGCCAGGGGTAAGAGGAGACTGAAGGAAATTCTGGCGATGATGGACGAGGGCAACGACGACGACGAGAACGACGACGACGACAAGGACGAGGGGCAGGACAGCTGCAAGACAGGGACAAAAACGACAAAAATGGGAAATGAGTACTTACACGACATAGCTTTAGACGAGTCCATTGCTATGAAGATGCTGTTGATCGAAAATAGCTGTGCTTTTGATATAATCTCTGCGAGCAAGAACGAAAAACAATGAAGAGGAGAAAAGAAAAGGAGAAGTGCGAAGCACTTGGGCCGAGAGACTGAGTCTTTTAGACATGATATCCAGATTGTTTCCTTGTCTCCTCCGGACGAACCTGCTCTCATCACCTTGACAACATGGACGATTAAGGTTATAGGGACTCGCAATCTCGCGGACCCTTGTGGGCAGTACGAGTACAGAAGTCAATTCGAAAGTTAGAAGTATGGATCTTAGTATAATAGATCTTAGGTTGTGGAGGTGTCTGCTTAGGCCATACATGGCAATAAAGCAAACCCGGATGGTCCTCGGGGTGAGAACTCTCTTGGCAACCCAGAAGACGATCAAAGAAGCTTTATATCTATTGTCGCCAGGGCGTTGAAACTTGTAGGGCGTCTGCATCCTCTTGACATGACGCAGTGCTGAAGTATATACGTGTAGTAGTAATCAGTAATGTCCTTCAATTATGCCACCTCTGTCATTGACTACTGAAAAGGCGGGATAGTCGATATGAATTACATGATTCCTGACGACTTGCTTTCAAGGGCAAGCCGCAATACGCAAGCCGTTACCGCGTGATGGCGTATGTGGCAGGTTGTATAATGCTTCTTAGCAGTAGATAGATAGATAGGGAAGTTGCGATGTGAACTCGGTATTTATTAGTCCTTGGAAACTGGGTTGGGATATCCGTGGCTTCGGTTTTGACTCTGATGGTGGCGAGTCTCCTCGACGTGAGATTGAGGTCTCGGCACGACCTCGATAGGTCTGGCATATCATTCCTTCTATGGTAGAAACTTAACATTATGGACCTGATATCTCGAACAGAGTCTGATCCTCTGGCCTAGTCTACCAACTATTATGTTTGAGGCTTTTGTATGAAGATCATGATTCGTGGGATGCTCCCACACATGAACGGCGGAAGAGGCACAGTACGAGGTCAGTTGTATGAAAAGCCCATATTCTGTGTCTGGCCTGGTGGCATCCTTTTAGCTTGTGTTGACATGTCTCTGGCCGGCCTTTTGGAACAACATTAGGTCTTTGCCTGCTTACGATGTTTGAAGCTTGACGTGACACCGATTGGGAAACAGCAAGTCACTTCCCGGTTCCCGCTTTTGCCAAAAAGAAGAAGAAGAAAAAACCAAACAAAGAGAAAATCGATTGGATTGGACCCCTAAAGCAGAAGAGTTTAGTTGGCAAACTTTACGAAGGCAATGAAAGGATAATGACATGGACTCGTGATATGCCTTGCGGACTGTGTCGCCAAAGGGGGGTCGTCTGGCTAAAGACGGGAGCTAATGCACGTTCCCGCTGATCTGCGTCATGGGGGAGTTCAAAATAACGCCCCCCATAGGTACCTTGCGTTCTATCCAACGCATCTCATATTCGTCCCAGCATATCCGTTACGTATTAGTAGCCATAATCAAGCCACAAACAAAAAATAACAGCCATTCCGGTTATTAGCCTGGCTCAGCATGGAAAGTGCGATATTGTGAGTTTCTGTATGGAGAAAGTGGTCTGCTACGGTTGTAGCTGATACCATAGCGCGACCTGCCCCACAGCCAAAACCGCCTCACGTACCAAGTGCTTACGAAGTACTCCATACTTTGTACGCCAGAGACGACTAACGTCGTCGCTAACCCCAATCCGTTTCTGATGCTCACGAAAACACTTCAAGTCTATCTCGATACTATCTTGAATGAAGTAGGGCATATCTCAAGCCATTGGAATCACCTCGATGTACACGACATCTCGGCAGATGAGTAGAAGCACTCTAAGTACATCATCAATCATGTTTACTTGTTTACTTCGTGGCGTCCCATGAGCTCAAGGATGATATGGAAGTAGTCATATATTGACGTCCGTGGCTTTATTCGTCTTGTCTGCACCTTCCGTAATCTCGACAGGAGTCCCTGTCATATGATATATCTGTGCCTCGGCAGTCAATGATCTATGATCTTTGCCACTTCTTTCAGTACCTTATGGAAAGTGCGTGATGGTGGTCTCTTGGTTGTCGGTCTTCCCCGTTTTGAGTGGTGCATGTTTATCTTTCTCCTCCTCCTTCGTCCCCGCGAGCACGATAAGACGGGTCGATGGCTGTTCCCTCTCGGAGAAGGTCAAGCGTTAAGCTCTGAGTCTCACTTCCATCGCAAGTCCCCCCATCGAGGCCAGAACACCGAGGCCCCGGTTTATAGACTCCCACCCAGTCTACTGAACCATGTCTCCTAGCCGCGGCGCCTCGACCTCGTCTTCCCGGTTGCAACGCGTCCATCCTTGACCTTTGAGCAACGCTCTGTCAGAATGACGCAGTAAGGGGACTGTAGGAGATTAGGGAGCGAAAAAAAAAAAGAAAAAATCCGTTCCTTGGACTAGTACCAGACATGTAAACAAGATATGAACAACATCTTGGGTGGTGGGAATATAATTTCGCTGAGAGTTTTGGGTTGGTGGTCTTTTACGCTTCGTCTCACCATGTCCCAATATTGTCTGTAGCTCCGTAGCGTACCATGAAAGTCGGCTTCGTGCAACCGAGAAGGGTGGGTAACTGGAGTGGTCCATGTTCCCGTGTGTTGATGGTGGATGGTCGTGATAATGCAAAGAGATGTTTGTGTTCCGTTATATCTGGGAATCATGTCTTCAGTATCGTCTTCGGCATTGTCTTCAGCAATGTCCCTATTCCCTGTCTGAATATTAGATGCGTTCATCGTTTCCTCCACGCCAGTGGCAAGTGGCACATTTCTTTCACTTCGGATCCTGCTGAGAAAAGAGCGTTCTAGGTTCCCGGACAATGACGCCGAGGAAAGAGTTGATGAAGAAGTGCGTGATGAGTTTAGACTACTCTGGAAAGGAGTGACCAGCCTGTTCATCGTAAATAAAAATGCTGTCTTGATGACTCGTTGTTACTGGACACATTTGATCTGTTTGTTGTATGAACTCAAGTAATTTCCTCGTGATCGTAATGATCTCATCCACTGGACTCTAGAGGTTCTGGAGGAAGAAGGAGGGAAGAAAAAAAGAAGAAAAAGAAAAGAAAAAGAAAAAGAGAAAGAGAAAAAAAAAAACGAAAAAGATATACAGGCTAGTCATCTTCAACCCGATTGACTTGTTCAAGTGCCCAACTCGATGTATGAATATTCATAATCCTTTATTTTAAAACAAATGAAATTAAATCAAAAGAAGATGGGAAAAACACCACAGGTCGCAGTGATCGTTGGAAGCAGGCCCTTCGCCAACCACTTCCTAGCTTGCTGTAAATTGTAAATGCAGGGATTTCATGGGACACCTGTCACCTTCAGTCACATTGCTCGCCTTGGAACAGAGCAGCATGTACATACGAAGCAGACATCCCGCGTAGAAGCGAATGGCGAATCCCGTTCGTTGCCCTTTAATACAACGTGTATTTCTATTCACTGCAGACCGAGATAATATCCATGTCATCCCCAGTCTCCATCCTTCATGTCATGGCCCAGCATCCATGCGGGCACCAAGCTGCAAGAGAGGGCGTATGTAGGTAGGGTAGCCAGGATAAAGTAGATAGGAAGATAACTGCAAGATTCCGGCGCGGGATCATGCTTTTCCCGGCTCCTGGAATCGAAACGACTCTGTGACTTGGCTTGACGTTCTCGAGACTGTTAAGCCATTTCCTCCCTCGGTGTAGGACTCCCTCCCCCTGGACATTCCCACCCGTTCCCATTACGTAACCAGAGAACCCATATTCAGAGCTTGTCAAAGGGGGAAAAAGAAAAAAAAAAAAAAAGAAGAAAAAGAAAAAAAAAGAAAAGAAAATGCCGGTGGTCGCCGATTCTCCCGTTCGCTGCCTGGTTATCGATCCTCCAAGAACAAGAAAAAGTAAAAGTCGATGCCAAATGCTCGTGTCAGCCGGGTTGTACAGAGCAAGAAAATATATCAATACAAATGAAAAGTCGACGTGTCGTTGGTTGGGACAGGAATGGCTGTCGCTCGTTGGTGCGTTTCGTAAGAATCATGTAAAGCGCTTCAATTATGCTAAAAGGGAAAAAAAAGTGCGAGTCCGCAGTCGAATGGGAGCGAAGGGTAGCCCTGGTCTGTATCCGGTTATTGACGAGGTCGAGGCGCTTCCCAACCATTAATGTACGCCATTAGGCCGACGCCGAGTAAGACAACGCCCAGCATCGAGGCATAAGGTATCCCTTCTATGAGTACTTGTCGTTGAGAAAGTGCAGGCGCAAGTACCGAATTCGGAGTGATGGTGTTGGCTCGAGACAGGGTGGGCTTGTCTGACGGGTCTTCCGGGACCTCATCTTGTTTCTGGGCATCCTCGACCTCCGAGGACGCATGGTCGCCAGCTGTCGTGCGGCTTTCTTCGACGCTCTTTCTGGGACTGGGACTTCTGCCGAGACTCCGACTCCGACTGCGGTTGCCACCACGGCGGGCGGCGGACGAGCGTGACCGGGCTTTCACCTCCGCGGCAGCTTGTCTCGCTTCCTCGTCTTTCCGGATCTTGAGAACCATGTCGGCTAGCGACTGTCGGTCCGTATTCCTCTCCGCCTCGGCCGTCTCGCATCGTGCTTTCCATGCCTCCATCTGCTGCCGAAGGTCGGAAATCTCCAAGACCATGGCATCGATCTTGGCCTGGAACTGCGAGGCAACATTTTCCACGCTTTCCACTTGCGGTGGAGCCTCTTCCGTAACCGTAACACTATCGGCATCGATCATCTCAACGTCGACAGACTCGGGCGCCTCGCAAGGCGGTTCAAACGCAGCTTCCCGGAGGAGACCGTCCGTGCCGTCAGCCTCTGGCGCTCCGTCCACGACCTTGCTGATAGCTGTGTCTTCGAGTCTCCTTGCTAGGTCTTCAGCGAGTTCCCTCGCTTCGCGTTCTTTCTGAAGCATCTCTTCCAAATCTCTCATGCGCGCGGTCTGGGAGTCGAGTTCTCTCCTGGTGGTGCTCAGAGCTTCAGTGAGCTGTAAAATCTGACTCATGTTGTCTGCCCGAACGGGCGATCCACTCGTTTGCGACTTGGGTCGTTCCGTTGTTGCTCGCTTCAGCGGAGGTACATCGGGTTTCTCGGGCAGAGGCTGTTGCGGCGGGGGTGCCGGCGGATCGGAGAATCTGGCCTTGGGATCGGAGCGGAACGACATGGGGTTGCCGTTGACAAGAGGTTTAGGGGGTTCGGGGGCTTCGGGTTTCTCGAGATCCTTAACGTCGTGCTTAGACAGTAACGCACCGATAAACTGCCCGGTCCGCCCCAGATCTTGGGATTGCAGCTTCGCATTTCGCATCTCGGTCTGCAAAGGGCAGTGTCAGTGTCATCAGTTGCATGAATTTGACGTACAGGGAACGAAGAAAGAAGGGCAGAATAGAAGTATAAATGTGGGCGAGGAAGGAAGGCCTAACCTGGAGTCTTTTGATAATATGGTCGGAAGTGACAGAGGCTAACTGGAATGTTCCGCGACCCGCGCCCCCGACCATTTGCGAGCCAGGGACGCCGGCAGCGGACAAGCCACGCCCGTTGGCTGCCAGAGTGGCATTACTTCCTTGCCTGCCACGAAGAGCCAGCCCGGTCGGTGGGGGACCCAGCATGGCGGTACCGTTGGCCGGATCCAGATCACCAAAGTTCAAGTCTAGGATACTGCTTGAGGCGTTCATGAAGCCGGCATGCTCCACCTTGGCAGCGACTTTGTGATGGACAACGGTCTTCTGATCTTCGTTAACGATATCAATACCGAGCTCCAGGTGGTCACCGCTCTGCAACTCATGCGGCTCGGATTCGCGATTCTCCTGGGATAAGCGACTACCGTTCACAAAGGTGCCGTTGGATGACTTGACGTCCCGAATATAGATCTTGCCCATGCGATCCGCCCAGATCTCGGCGTGCTGCCTTGACAACACCTTACTGTCGAAAAATCCGTTGGCAGGTGTAGGAACCGTCTTCTGGTTTGTTTGACGGCCGATGCGCAGACTCTCCGGGTAAAAGGGGACGGATATAGTTTTGCGCTCGAAGGTGCCGTTCAGCGATAGTAGGTAGAGAACAGGTTGCCCAGCGGGCATGGGCTCGGCGATGGGGCGACCGCTCATTTGTTGTTGGGACATGATCGACGGCTGGCCCTGGACAGGGGGCATCGGACCGCCGTTGATACTGCCGTTGGCAATGCCATTCATATTGATGTTGTGGTTGACACCGTTGATGCCGTTGGCGGGAGAGCGACCGGGGGGCATGCGACCAAGCTCGGGAGGAGGAACGTCAGACTTGCCCGAGGGCCAAGGGCTTTTGAGCGGGGGACGCTTCCTGGCGGCGGCGTTGGACCAGGTACTCACGTCCGAGTTCGCTGAGGAGGGGGTTCCATTGGAGTGAGCTGAATTATTCGTCGAGACGGTGGCGGTAGAAGAAGCAGACGAAGTAGAAGATATGGAAGAAGACGAGTTGGTGCGCTGCATCTGCTTCCGGGGCATAAACATGCCTCGGACGTCTTCAGAGTTCATCGAGTTGAGGTCCTGACCGCTACTGACGTTCCATGCCGACCGGTTGAGCTGTGGAAACGAGGGAGGATTGGCCACGGCAGTCATCAGGAAACGTGGTGGTTGGGTGACGTAAGGCCTGACGCTGCGAGACGAGTTGTCGAACTTGTGCAGGCAAGGTCTCCTATAGACGACGTAAGGGAAGGCGATAGTCGAAAAAGCCGAGGCAGCGGAGCGACGAGGAGCAGGAGGGACGAGGGAAAGACGGAAGGAGAGAGACGGGCAGAGTTGTGCACGCGTCGGCGTCGGCGTCGACGTCGGCTATCTCCTCCGACCAGTCGAAGTTCGAGGGGATCGACAGGGAAGCAAATGGGGGAAAAAAAGGAAAAAAAGGAGTCGTCAATCGATTCTAATCGGCTGTTATAGGTGCGAGATGGATCAGAATCGCAGGGATGTCGCGGAACAGCTGGGGGAGGTAGGCCGAATGAATAGGTAATAGAATTTAGCTGAAGTGACGACGACTGAATCGATGCGAAAGGGAAAAAAGTCAGTCGTACTACATGTACAGTGTAGTTGTTACGTTGAGGTGGAGAGTGGAGAGAGGTGGCCCGTTCAATCGAGATGGGCGGCGACAGGGTGGCCGAGCACGGGCCACAGGAAACAGGACCAAAAGGGGTTTGACTGTATAAGAGAAGTACGTACGAATACATACTAATACAGTGTGTAGTGATTCCACGTACAGTACGCGCCAGATTAAAAGCAACCTGGGTCGTCAAGAAAAACTTTAGAGTATGGGAGGACGACTAGGGCAAACGGTACGATAAAGAGATACAGATGGGAAAAGAGAGAGAGTAAGGTTCAGAGCACAAATAAGATGCACGTTTAAGGACAACGTCAAGTTCAGAGTGGGATCCAGATGGGACCAGGACCTGGCCGTTGCGTTGGGGCGGGACCAACATGGAGGAAACTTTTAAAGCGCGTCCTCCTCCCTCCCCCCCTGCTATTCGTGCCTTTCTTACTCATTCCTTCAACGGCTTCTTCTACAAAGTATGAAGTACAGGGACCCCGTTTGTTGTCTCCTTTTTCCTCCAGTCACTTCTCACCTTACACTGGCTACGCTCCATTCTCACTAAGCGCTTGTCGTATCTACACTGTGCTAAGGTAGAGGCCAGTAGCCACCAATAATCACCTTCCTCCTAATGGCATGTACTCACGAGCTGGTACACACGATAATTACATTATAGAGGAAGCCAACAGGCATTAATGCCCTGTGGTGTAAAGAAAACAGACAAACCTCCCAGAGCGCCCATAGTCTACAGCATATGGCAAATGGAAAATGACATGTAGTCGATATTTTTCTCGGCCCTTTTGACTCGCGGATACTCCGGTTCTTAAGTTTGGGTTTCCACGGCATGCACACGACATCCCCGGCGACCTGTACCTCTACTCTCGGGAACCGTGTCGAAGCTCACGTGATCATGTTCATATACAGTATGTAAGTCATGGCTGCAGCATTCAGCACTGTATGTTGTATTCTATCACGTGAGCCCCGGTATGGTGCTCTCCTATTGGTTAGAGGTGCCCCACTATCCTCGCTTAGAAGGTGGCAGATATATTTAGGATATATACACCCACCCCTTTTTCTTTCTCTTTTATATATAATATAATTATATATTTCTAAATTAACGCTCCCTATAAGCACGCTCCTGTTAATTTAATAGTTATAAGCTCGGGTAATAATAGTAACTAGTAACTTCCTATTAATCTATTATCTACGTTTATTTTTATATACTTCTATAGTATTATAGAGCCCTCCTACGCTCTCTCTCCTAATAATAACCTTTATTTGCTAAACCCTTACTCGATACTATATCGAATAAGCTTAAGATCACGGCTAAAGCGCTTAGTATCCCGCGCCTTAAATCTACAGGGTAATAGGCTAATTAAATCTTCTATATCTAGTCGTATACGTAAGGGATAAAAGTCTAGGCACTACTCGATCCTAGCTAAAAGGATTAGCTAGATAACCGTCCTAAGTATATTATACCTAAATCCCTAGATTAACTACGCGAATAGTATTCCTAAGGTGAGGGCGATGATACTATTATACCCTTAACGTAGGAGCTTATACGCCTTGCCGAAATTGAGAATTAGTAGACTATAGCCTAGAATTAAAAGCTCGGTCACCTTATTAAGGCGCTCGATAAGGCTAATTAACTACTTAAAACTACTATAAAGACCTCTACCTATTAATAGGCTATCGAAAAGGCTATTAAAAAATATCCTAGCTACGATAAGGAAAAATAAAATAAACACTTTACGTTACGCTATATAATAAAAGAACTTAAGAGTAGCTTCGCTCTAAGCAGTATTTATATAAAGGAAAAGGTAAGATAAGTATACGAAAAGTATCTATATGATACTTATCAAGCTAATACTAAAATAGCTATATAGTATATGGAGTAGAATACCCTTATTAGACGCGTATATTAGTAAAAAGTAGCCGAGATTAAAGGACCTATTATTATTCGGAATTTCCTTATAGTAGTTAGATAGAAGTTTATGTCTATTTAGGTAGAAACTAAGCTCTAAAAGCTAATAATAAAAAAGGTCCGCGGCGATAAGATTTCCGATTTTCTAATATACGGCCACGAGTTTAACGCTATTATAAACACTCTAACTACGGACAGAATATGCTACGGCGTTTACACGACCCTAGGAGACCGCTTAGATAATAATAAAGGCGGAAAAAAGCCTAAAAAGAAAAGCACTAATTACCTCTATTAACGCGAATATACTTAGAAGCCGGAGCACTATAATAAGCTAGAGTACGCTTTAACCGGAAAATATAAGCAGAGATCTAATACCTATATTAATAATAAGTAATATAAGGAGATACGGAAGGAGATTAAGCTCCTAAAGTGGAAAAGCTTACGCGAAAAACTATCGAAAAAGGGATAGGAAAGCTTGGAGAGCGGTAGCAGTAAGGGAGATAGGTATCCTAGGAAGGTTATTATAACTATCCTGGATCCCGCCCTTATCTATACTATAGAAAAGGTCTTTAGGATTTACGCTATACTCCGACTAGGCCCTTACCCGCTTTTATAAAGTACTCTTTTTAATAATTACGGCGTAACTTACCTTATTAACTTAATCGACCTGCTTATTCTAGGTTTCTTTATTTCTATAAAGGGATCTATCGAATCCGGTATAACCGACTTTCCGATTATTAATAAAGGTAAACGGCTTCTTAAAGGAATCCTTAATAGACCTTTAGGTGCTTCGAAAGCTAACTTAGAGCTTAATGATATAGTTATTATAAAGGGATTTTACACGAATATTATATCAGAAGCTCTATTATATAAGGTTAGAATCTAGTATTCGGGATATAACTACTTATTACACTTTAGAACGGCGGAGAAGAGTATAGTCTTATTAAAGCTGCTTCGATGCTTTAATATAACTATCCTTTAGTATAAGCTAATTTTATCTTCTTCTTCTTATTCGTTATTCTAACCGATACTATATAGTATTATTTCGATTAATTACAACTATTAATATATACTAGTTATAGCAGTTAATCGACTAATAAGAGCTTACCGATATTACCGACCTTCCCGCGACCCTCTATATCCACGAGTCGACGAAGAATAGTTATAGCACTTAAGAGCAGGCTATCTTAGACTAAGCGCTCTACGAGTATTAGTTCGTAACGCTAGGAATATATTAATTAAGGGAACTAAGCAGATAGACTATAAGATATACTCTAAAACCTAGGCATATTAAGTTATATCTCGACACACATTAGAACACCGCTCCCTATAACCGTTTTAATGTATTTATTAGGATCTTTAAGAGCTACCTAAAAGCTATAACAGTATACGATATCTTCTTATAATAAAGGACGAATATAGCGGCTAGATCTACGTACTGCCTTTAGCTTTAAAAAACAGCGTTACGGTTTATAATACGCTATAAGCCTTCGAATAATAGGTTAATCGGCAGTTTATATTATATATCTATAAGATACGCAGTAATAATAAGCCCTGGATCGTTAACCTAATAGGGGATTTAATAACCTAGCTATAGGCGAGCAGTTAAGGGATCGAGATAGAAATTACACCGCTATACACCTATAAACCAAACGGAGGGAGCGAAAAAGCCGGTTAATTAATTATTATAAAGTCTAATGCTATACTTAACAGAGCAGGAATTCCACTAGATAAATAGCTCGAGAACACTAAATCGGTAGTGTTATTATATAATATAAGTCCCTTATAACGACACGGATAGAAATCCCTAGTAGAAATCCTCGACTTATAGTTTAGAAAGAATACGCCGATTCTAATAAGAGAGTATATAGCCAACCTACGCCCTAATTAGAGTAGTATCTATACCTACGGCTACCGCGCCTATCTAATAGTAAGGGATAAGGAGACTAGGAGGAATAAGAAACTATATAAGGTTTAACTAAAGGGATATATTAGGTATCTTATAGGTTACGTTACCTATAATATCTATTAAGTATAGATTTCCTAGCTTTAAAAGATTATGATAACGCGTAATATACAGTTTAATAAGCACCTATTTTATAAACCATAGCTTAAAAAAGCAGAATAGATCCCGGAGCCCGAGGCGAGGAACTAGCTTATAACTTATAAAATATAAGAAGATAAAGATAACGACTTTATCCTATAGGCCTACCCTCTAGGTAGATTAATTAATAGCATACCTTCTAGAGAATAAGTATAGTCCACGGGTTTAAACTCGGGGGTAAGAGTAGTAAAGGTATAAATAAACGCTTCTTCGCTACTATTAGATATAGACGCACCTAGTATACCCGAACTGCCTATAACAGGACTTTAAACCCCACGCGTAACACCTAATCCTTAGAGTAGGAATCTTTAGGTTATAAGCGTAAAGCCGTAATCTTCGGAGGAACTCTTAATTAATAATTCTTCTAACTAATAAGATAACGGAGCGGCCACCTAAGAAGATACCGTAACTAACACGCTAGGATTATATATACTAGAGCTTAATACGGATACTTCGACGATTTTAACTATAGAAAGGAGTACGTAGGCGATGGTATAGGGATTAGCTACCTCTAATCCGCACTATAATACTAACCGTACTATAGCATCTGGATCCAGACCACCTATCCGACTAACTCCTAAGGTGACCGCCTATTAAAGGAAAAAAAACATACTAGTAAAAGAAATAACGCGCGCTAGCATAAGAATTACTAATCGCTGTACTTAAGGAAAGACTATTCGGATTAATCCACGGATATATTAAGCAGAGCTAGATATACCTTTAACTTATACCTTTTTCTTATCTAATTAATAAAAAGAGTGCTAGGACGGGCTAAAAGGGCTTCTAACCTTTAATTTAATAATCCTCGGAGTAGCCGATACTAAAATAAATACCTATTTAAATACTAAGAAAGAGACTATAATGTTACTAAAGTCCTTAATCGACGACAGGGTTTATTGCGACTACCTAAAGGCTATACTAAGGTATTAGCGGGAGCTTACTAACCACTCTATATATAAACAGTTTAAGGAAGCCGCGTAGAAAAAGGTGAATAAGCTAATTAAGAAGTGTATATAGAGGGAAATTAAGCGCTTAGAGGCGAAGTTAAAGTCTTTTCCGTTAAAGTGGGTTTTCACCTATAAGTTCGACTAAGACGGATATCTCGAATAATATAAGGCACGCTTATATATTCGAGGGGACCTATAGGAGAGCTTAATAATTAAGGGAACCTATATAGTAACGCTCGCTATATAATCTTTTCGTCTTACTATAGCCTTAGCTACTTAGTTTAATCTAGAGATTAAGTAACTTAATATTATTAACGCCTTTATTAACGCTTAAAGGAGTAAAACAGGAACGCCCGTTATATATAAACTTCCCAATAGATTTAAGTAGCCCGATAAATACTTAAAGCTCGATAAAGTACTATATAGACTACGCGACTCGCCTAGACTATAGTTCTAGACCGTCGCGGCTACCCTAATAGACTTAGGGATAAAAGCTAGTAAGGAAGAACCGTGCCTATTCTATACTAAGGCTTAAGACGTATTCGTTATCTTTTTTGTAGATAATATTCTTATATTATTTTATAGAGATAGTGCTATAAACGGCTTTAGGATTATCGAAAGAATTAAAATAAGGTTTAAGGTATCGGAAAAGGGGGAAGCCGATTAGTTTTTAGGTATTAAGATCACTTAAGATCGCCCTCGATATAAGGTTTTCCTATCCTATAACTTATATATCGAAAAGATCGTAGCCAGGTTTAAATTAAACGCTCTAAACACCTACCTAATAATCCTTATTCCTATTATAGAATACCGGAAAAAAGAAGATAAAGCCACCGCTTAAGAGATTAAATCTTATTAAGAAAAGGTCGGATTAATACTTTATATAGTAGTTATAATACGTCCTAATATAGTATTCGCCGCCTCTATCCTCTCCCGCTTTCTTAAAAACCCCTCACTCGAGTATTATAAGGCGGTAGACTAAGCTATCCGCTATTTATTTATAATAAAGGACCTCTTAATTTTGTACGGATTAAGTATTAGTTTATAAGCGATAGTTATCGTAAATAACGCCTCTTTTATAGATAATTTGGATATATGAAGATCTTTATAGGGTTACCTTATTAGCCTATTTAGTGGATTAGTTATATAGAAAGTAATAAGGTAAGTAATAGTAATAATGTTTATAACCGAAGTAGAGCTACTCGCTTTAGAGTAAGTAGTAAAGGAAATAATAGGTTTAAAGCTTTTTTTCGTCGAAATACGCTTTAATCTAGAATCTCCTTAGGATATCCACTATAATAACACGTAAACGATACGCTTAGTAGTCGATAATAGCTTTAGGATTAAGATTAGGCTTTGCTATATAGATATATAGCGCTTCTAGGTATAGTAGGAGAACGTAAAGAGATTATTCAGATTCATATATCTTACTACGAATTGAATACTAGCGGACGGATTAATAAAGCACTTCCACGATAAAAGTTTAAGAACTTCCGAGTATATCTTAATATAATTAGTGTATAGAGGGGGTAGAAAGAAGCAGTTAAAGTCGAAATTCCCGCGCCTTAGGCGCACCGCGCGCTGGCGGTTTAATTAATTTAGTAAAAGGAAGGGTATATCGTTATCTTAATACTATAATACTATACTAGACCCTAAAAGTAAAACCTAAAATATAAAAAGGAGTATACTAGATACTTCACTAAGCTTTATTAATACTATCCTAAGCACTGTCCTACGTAATACTTACGCTATTTCCTTTAGCGGGAAGAGTAATAATAAAACTATTTTCCCGTAAAATATCTATTATAACCCCTATAAGCTAGGAGGTAGAGGTAGTAGTCGGCGTACTAGGACCCTAGTTAGAAGCTCCCTTAAGCTCCGCCTCCTTAAAGAACTTCTTATTTTCTTCGTCCTTTATTAACTTAATTATAAACTTTACCGTTTACTTAAGTTTAGTAAAGAACTACGCGAAATAGTTAGTTGGAGTATTCTGATTTAGAAATAAAGCGATTAATATACCTTTTTATTATTATCGCTCGAATCTTTATTAATTTTTCGGACTATAACGTAATCGAATAAAATTTTAACTAAGGAGATAAGGCCGGAAAAACTATAAGTATAGGTCAGCGGTTGTAAAGCTTAATAGCGTATATATCTTCGAGCTTATATAAAATAAAGTAAATAATCACGATCGTAAAACGGCTTAGATAGGGGGTAAGAACTTATAGAGGGTAGTATATATAGTTTCTATCCTTACACTTTTAGTAGCGATAGGAGCGGCTAGGAACGGAAATATAGAAGTTAAATAAGCGCTATTTACTAGAATAAATACCCTTTACGTACTTTAGACAGGGAGGATCAAATAGAACCGGAATAAAATCGTCCTCGGTATCCTTATTATTATTGTTACTGCCCTTAACAATCTTCTAAGGAGTTAGCTTAGAATAAAGCAGAGATATCGTAGACTAACGCTCGGAAATAACTTACAGAAGCACCCTTCTTAGTGCCGGCTTTACCCTTAGTCTTCTTTATACTATTAGCCGAGGCTTTCTTAGCTACCACGGTATAGGTGACGGCTAAGAGGGTAGGAGGAGCCTAAATGACGCTACTAGTTAGCACACGCCACTAAAAATAAAGCTCCGATACTTACTATATCACTATTATTATTATTTTTATTACTGTTAATAGAAAAATTCGGAAAATTTAGATTAAAAATCGTTAAAATTCTTAAAAATAACGGAATAAGGATTATAAAAGGGAAGATCTAAAAGCTCTAAAACGCCGGTATAACGCCTTTAATTTAGCTACAGAAGGCCCTACTATCACCTATTTACTATTACTATTAATAGAACTTTTTCTTTATTATTTACTATTATTATTATTATTCTTTACTATTTTATAGCTTTTATTCCTGCCTTTTAACTCGATATTAAGGGTATCACACGACCTTTTAAGGCTATTTTAAGGTTAAAAATAAGGCTAGGTTAAGGTTAGACTAAGTAATCGTTCCGCTAATCATAGCGTAATAATTAGGGGGTATATTATATTCTATTATATAAGCCCCGGTATAATACTCTCCTATTAGTTAAAGGTGCCCTACTATCCTCGCTTAGAAGGTGGTAGATATATTTAGGACACGTATACCCGCCCCTTTTTCTTTCTCTTTTATACATAATACAATCATATATTTCCTGAATCAACGCTCCCTATAAGCACGCTCCCGTTAATTCAACACTATACCTGCGGACCCCACTTCTCCAGGCTTCTCATGGTATTATCACGTGATGCGGTTTCCCTGGGACCATTGCCGGGCTGGACGCTTTTAGTCCAGTTTCGTCTCGTTTCTGCGCTGATGAACCGATGCGACAGCAGTAATTAGGCCTCCAATCCCCTTTTCTGCGTCCTCGCTCGTCCTTGTCGAGCCATTGTTGCCCTCCGTCAACCCCCGAAACGAGACTTACGGTGTCTGTCCGCCCATACATCAGAAACTGAGCCCTGTCATTTGCGACAAATAACAATGCCTCCCGTGCCAGCTCAGTATGGCGGCCACGCCGGGCCTTCCAACTTCGACAAATGTACGACTGCTCTCCTCCCGCAACGCGGATGAACGCTCTGAACGAGTTACTAATCGTTGACCCTCTAGTCAAAATGGGTGCCATGATGGGCGGCTGTATGTCTCTCCCGACCTTTCGTCTCTTTCTCTGGTGCTGAGCTTGTTTGCTGACTTCTGGACTCAGCTGTCGGAGCCATCATGGGCTTTATCTTCGGTACTACCCGACCCTTCTTGACCTCCCACTCGACTCCGCCTGCTTATCTCCTTCCTATACGCGAACTGACGGTTGGGTGCCTGCAGGAACTTACAGCATCTTCCGGTACGGTGCCGGGCCGAACGGCATCATGCGCACCCTCGGACAATACATGCTCGGATCAGGGTCTACCTTTGGGTTAGTTCTGATTTCTCTCTCTCTCTCTCTCTCTCTCCCGATGTTCTTTCGTTATGCGATTTCCTACTGACTCTCTTATCTCTTCCGTTAGCTTCTTCATGGCAGTCGGCAGTGTCATTCGAAGCGATGCGTCCCCCATTGCCGAGGCGGCGTTCCGACAAGCCCAGAGACGGCCCTTCATCATGTCCCATCCGGCCCTGCAACGCCCCAGGCCCCAGTAATCGCCGCCCGTCAGGGTCTCGAACCCGGTTAGAGTCGGGGAGTGTATCAACATCATCACCAGTCCGCCTCGGGGGACAACTTTGGGCGGGTCGTCAGCCCGCCGCTCTCGAGGCGTCAGTGTATACTAGAAGTGCTTGTTAGCCAGCTTGATGATTGAACGATAAGAGAGAATGAGATCTCTGACGAGATCTGTACCTTCCGTCTCTTTTTTTCTTTTCCTTTTCCTTTTTGACGTTCTCCGCCCTTCCCTCACCCTTATGGCGTGTTCCTCTTGATCTTTATTCTATTCTGAAACATAAGGATGCTGGTCCTCAGCGTACAGGCAGCGCATATGGTATGGTCTACAGTCTTTAATGCCTGAAACCCAGATCTGCAAACGCATAGCAGGAAGCCTCTAGCTGTCCTTCGGGATTGGAAGCGGCGAGCTCCCTCAGGCCGCCATTTAACCTTTCAGTTGAGGGCAACGGACCTTCTTTGAGACTCGAATGCGTGTTGTTCAAGCACTGCGCTGGTAGCGGCATTCTATAAAGGATTGGCTGTTTAGTCTGCTCCTAGGTCTCTGGGTGATGAAGTTGGACGCGTCGTCAAATCCTGCTTAGTCCAGCCAATATGACGGTGTAAGTATTCGTCTTCATTCGTCGCTTTGTGGACCGTCCAACAGCTCAGTGATCGCCGATTTGTTTCACGATCTGTTTATGTCAGTCTTGGGGCGGTGACCTCTTGCTTGACGTGCGCCTTGAAAACGGCGAGGTTGGTGACGTCAAATCAGGGAGAAACATTCGGTGTGGTAGAATTTTGCAGTATCCCGCGACTATGGGTTTGGCCGCCATGGTACTCTTTTTTTCTTATTCTTTTCCCCCCTTTTTGCTCACCTTCCCTCTTCCCTGCGTGATCTGACACCAATACCTACACATGTTTGGAGAAACCGGCAGATGCATAAGGTAGGACCTCGATCTGGGAAAACAGCCCCGGTTTCAACAAGATTTCATCGAATCACAGGTCCCCAAGCCCGACACTGAAACCCGCCGCCACCTCCCACCCCCTTTCTC